TGCTACAGAGGCACGGAATTAGCGTAAGCCTTGCTTAAAATGCCTTAGATTTCTGGCATCATAAATTCAGAGACGATCAACCGGAGGAGGAACCCAATGTTAGAAACCCGTGATCTTACGAAAGTCTATAACGAAAGTGTCTTAGCCCCAATAAATTGAACCTGAAAGTGGCTGTTTTTCAGGTAAAAACTCTCGTTTCTCTCATTTTTCTCGGATTATGCACCCTTTTTGCCTCAAAATCGTATCTTTAATTATAGAAGGATAAAGTCATGTCCCAAATTTAAGCGTTGCAGCTCACTATCCGGTTTGGTATACTCTCTTCAAGAAAACGAAATGTAGTTTCAATAACGTGAGTTCGATATATGCATTGGTTTCCGTAGGGAATCAACGCCGAATGCGCGTATTGCCTCGCAGTGAGAGTCGTCGGGGTAGAACGGTCATCAAAGGTGTGCCTCTATTCTTCCAAGAGAACCGCTGCTTTTCAGTAGACTCGTGTTGAAAATATGTCGAGTGAAACCCAACGCATTGCGAGACATGGAGCTTTGGCGTGTTGGGTTTCGCTATATCTATCTTCTTGAACAGTTCATTGCGCATCAAAGTTGTGTGTAGAACCGAAGGGTATTTGGTCTTTTACCGCTCTACCCATAGGTGTCAATTTAGGGATTTTTCACGATATTTTGTGGCAGCATCTTTACAAATGCCGCCCCGCTGGGGCTTGGGTCTTTGGGCTTCACGCATGCTACACAGATGCCGTCCCTCCGGGACTCAAGAGTCCACATTTACCTGACGTTTTCCGCACCATATGTAAGGGTTTCGGGGTCAAAACATTTTTTTACAACGAAAAATATACCTCTTTTTTCTTAAATTGACACCTATGGGTCTTTTACCGCTCTACCCAACCTACGTGTACACTTCTATTTTTATTATCGAACTCACGTTTTATATAAACATAAGGCGGATAAAAACCCCAGAAATCAGGATAGATTCAGTGCTAAAATAAATCTCGCTTTCGCAGAAAAACAGAGGTGAAAGGCACAATTAACGTCAAACTGTCATATTGGGAAACCCTGTTTATTTTACTGTGTGTCCGTTTAAACTCGGCGGAATATAATCACAACCGAATCTATTCAGTAATCATGGAGTATTCTGATGGATAAGAAAAACGATGTTCAACTCATTCGGCGAATTTTGTCGGGTGATGATGAAGCATTCAATGCTTTGGTCCGAAAGCACCAAAAAGGGTATTCACGCGCTGGCGTGGCGAAAAGTTGGTGATTTTCACATCGCTGAAGAGATTACGCAAGACACTTTCCTCCAGGTCTACAAGAACCTCGCGCAGCTAAAGAATCCAAACCAGTTTTCCGGATGGATGTATGTCATCGCCAGTCGCCTCTGCCTTAAATGGCTCCAAAAGAGCAAGAAACACATCTGCGATGCACTCCTTGGAGGACACACCTGTGGAAGAAATCGACGAATCTTCTTACACACATCACGCATCGGAACAGCGACAGACAGAGATTACCGAAAATCGCCATGAACTCGTCAAGAAACTTCTGGCAAAACTCCCGGAGAGCGAACGCACCATCGTGACGCTCTACTATCTCGGCGAAATGACAGCGAAAGAAATTGGAAAATACTTAGGTGTGTCGGTGAACACTGTTAAAAGTCGGCTGCGCCGCGGACGAAAACGTTTACAGGAACAGCAGGAAGAACTCTTGGTTAGCGAAACGCTCGGGAGCATCCCATTCCCTGCCCACGTGACCGAGCGTATCATGGAACAAGTGGCCGATATGAAACCGATACCACCTCCGGTTGGCAAACCTTTGCTGCCGTGGGCGGCTTTCGGTACGGCTGTGGCTTTAGTAATATTGCTGCTCGGTGCGAGCAACCAATATCTTGCTCGGTTTCAAAAACCATATAGTTTCGAGGCGGAATCTGAACCCACAATTGAAATTGTTGATGCCCCTATCGTCCTTGATATTGTATCAAAGCCGTCTATACGCAATCAGTTTGGACAGGCTGTTCTCCCGGGTAAAAGCAACAGTGCCGGTATTCAGGTTTCTGAAACGGTTTCAAAATCCAATATGTTAGAGGATTCACGCAAGTCTACCACCTCCTCACAGTGGACGGAGGGAAATGCACCGCCAGGTGGACGTGTACAGGATATGTTCGCTACATCTGAAGGAACTGTCTATGCTGTTGCACCAACAGGAATGTACAGATTAGCGGCAGACGCAACCGCGTGGACACACATTAACACGGATATTCCAATTGGTAAATCTCGAATGCCGATGGCAGAATATGGTGGTCGCCTTTATATCGCCTCTGTGGATGAAATATTTACTTCAGTTGATAGCGGTGAAACGTGGCATACGCTCGGTTCCAGACCCAATGGACACGCAGTTGGACTCATCATCACAGACGCACCCCAAGATGCCGATTCACAAGCAGATATCACGATGTATCTTGCGCTTAGAGATGAAGGGGTTTTCCAATCGATAGATGGTGGAACGCAATGGCATCCGCTTAACGATGGGTTGACAGGCGAAATAATTTCCGCAGTGGCTGCTGCTGGAGAAACGGTCTTTACGGGTACAGGGCGCGGTCTCTACCGTCTTGATTCAGGTGTTTGGAAAAAGTTGCCGGTGGAGACATCAAGAGCCATCTACTCCTTTGGCAGTGTGTGAGAATAACCTCTATGTTGGAACCGGTCCCGATCTGTTGGGATTCACGCCAATAGTAGTAGAACAAGAAGTGCAAAATCTTGAGTCGCATACACTCAAGATTTTCCATTCGGCTAACTTGGGAGCGTCGTGGACTGAAATAACACCCAGTTATAAATCTGACGATCGGGTGATACCATCTGGCATGATGGTTTTGGCTGCTGGTGAAACGCTCTTAGCGTCGAGTGCCAAGCACCAATATCGTTCAACAGATAACGGACACACCTGGACAGAACTTTTAGGTGATACGGATATGCTCATGACCAATAGGCTTCCAGCTGTGGCGGTGAACGAGACGACGTTTTACAAAGCTGGACCATTCGGAATTTTTCGCACAACTGATGGTGGGAAGGGGTGGTCCCTACTTATAGACGGGATGGTGGGAACAAGGCTAAAGGATTTGGTTGTGTTCAACAACAGATTATACGCGCATACTGGCTTTGAGGTGTATCAATCAACAGACGCAGGTGTGTCTTGGAAAAGCATCTCAACTGCCGAGATGTTTTTTGTGAAGGAGCATACAACTACAATTGTATTATCAAAGCCGGACAGGGCTCACTTCCACGCCTTTTTTGATTCAAAATTAGTGGTTGACGACAACAATCTTTATTTTCTTTCACGTAAAGATAACAACTTGCGAATTTCCGTTCTATCTACAGATGGCAATATACCAAGTCCTGTTCAAAGCATGCCCACTTTTGATGATGAAACATTACTCCGTAAGTTACGGATAGGTAGTGAGGAAGCGAAAGAGACCCACCTATCTGATGGTTCTGAAAAAGAGCATCAATCAATCGTATCAATCGATTCACCTCCTTTTAAAAAAGGAACATACCTGAAAGCCAGAAGGGTCGTAGTCTGTAACGATGTGTTCTACGCTGAACACGGACAGCACTCTTTTTAAGTGGAGCCTTGGTGATCCAGAGTGGACAAACACAGGATTAACAGAACAGGAGCCAATTGTCTTATAGCGACTCCAGAGCGGAACTAAAATTAGCGGTTTTGGGAGAAACCGTCTACGTGGGGAAACGCGATGGTAAACTGTTTCAGTCGCTTGATGGAGGGAACAGTTGGAGAGATGTTACGCCAAGCCTACCGCTTCACTTTGCTCGTTTCAAGGAGATAGACTTTATAGGTTCAACAGTTTATGTCGCCACAGACGAAGGTGTCTTGAGTTCAGAAACCGGCGCACACTGGCGCGTGATAACAGATAGTGTGGGGGCGCGTCCCATCATAGACAAATTTGCTGTGGATGGTACGACGGTTTATGGTGCCGGCGATATCGGAGTCTATCGTTTGGATACCCGTCGTCAATGGAAACAGATTTCTTCAGAAGCTCTCGGTGAAGTTGTTTCTCTCGCAGTCAATAATGATAAGCTCTATAGTGCCATCGAAGATCGCGGGATATTTCACATCTCGCTTGAAGGGGAATAGGAGTGTTCCGCGGAAGATAATACCTTTTCACAGTCATGCTTGGAAAGTTCGCCTGCTGACTACACACGTCCAAAACTTGAAGCACAAGAATCGGAACAATAGTACCTACCACAGAACTGGCACCAGCAATCCCTGAAAATTTATCTGGTGCCAATTCTTTTGCAGAGTAGAGTTGTCCCCACTGACAAATTCGATGGGTCATGGATACTTTATAGTAAAGCCTATAATTACTTGGACGCTCTAAAGAGGCGAGGATACAATCCTCGCCAGCGGCGGTGGGGTCGTTGTTCACTGACGAACTGTCCACATATTTTTCGACTTTACTATAATAACGTGAGTTCGACTTAAGCGCGTAGGTTGGGTTGAGCGGAACATGAAAACCAAGTGCTTATGACACAGAAAATTTCCCGTTTTCAAGATACTTGAACACTCCGAAATCGCAGCGAAACCCAACGCTTTCACACATCCTCGTCCATTTATGGTAAAGCCTACAATTACTTAGACACTCTAAAGAGGCGAGGTTATAAACCTCGCCAGCGGCGGTGGGGCGCGCAAAGAGGCGAGGTTACAAACCTCGCCAGCGGCGGTGGGGCGCGCAAAGAGGCGAGGTTACAAACCTCGCCAGCGGCGGTGGGGCGCGCTCCGATATTTGGATCTCCACATAATTTATTCCATATTTCTCAATTTTAAGTGATTTTTTCCATAACCTTTGGATTAAACCCCGTAGGTTATTTTTATTGGAGAAAAAAATGGATACCAACAATACACATTCCCCCAACACAGAATCAGAATCTCGCCCGTCTGCCGTAAAGACGCTGCGCCGTTTTTTCTTCGTTGCGTGGCATGTCAGTCCATTCGGGGCAATCGCACAAGCACTCCTCACACTCGTCCACGGGTGCATCCCCATTGGTATCCTGTGGGCAAGTCGCGGGGCTGGTGAACCTCATCACAGCGATTCTCGCCAAGGAAACGGAACCAAGCTTAGAGACCGCCGCGCCATGGATAATCGCTTTGGTTCTTTTGGCGACCATCAGAAACGTAGTAGGAACCTGTGATGGCTACTTACGATGGAAGATACAGAACCACATTAAAGTTCATCAACAGCACGCCTTACTCGAAGCCACGACGCATATCGACTTCGCCGTCTTCGATCAGCCAAAGACCTACGATTTGATACAACGGGCGCGACAGGCTTTGGACCATCGACTCACCAATTTCCTCAGATTTCTAACGGAGATTGGGCAACTCTGCGTAACGCTCGTGGGGTACGGTGTTCTCCTCTGGATCGCGGATCCGCTCCTCGTGCTTGTGGTCGTGTTACCCGCAATCCCTTCCGCTTGGCTCAAAGTTAAGGCAGCCAAGCGTGGGTATCTCTACGATTACTATGCAACACCCGTACGTCGTATGATGGATTACATGCTCGGTCTACTCCTCGGTTCATCATCTGGACAGGAAGTCCGACTCTATGGACTTTTCGATCGCTTTTTTGGACGCTGGCGAACGAACCATCAAAAATGGCGGAAAGAATCGCTTGCAAAGATTTGGACGGAAATAAGGGCTTCCATCGGCACAACTATCGCTGAAATTGTTGCTTATGCAATAGCAATCGGCATACTTGCGGCGCGCATTGTGGACGGCGATCTTACGCTCGGAGATTACGTCGTGCTTACTGGAGCAGCGGCGACCTTCCAAGGAAATATGGAAGGGTTGCTTTCACAAATACAAAACATTCTTGAAGACTTACCTCTGCTTCGGGACTTGCATCTCTTCTTAGAACGCGCAGAAAAAACCCGCACACAGGCAGGAACCGAGACATTTCCGAAGCCCTTACAGCAAGGAATGGAGGTTCGTAATCTACGCTTCCGGTACCCGGAGGCAACTGATGATGTACTACAGGACATAAACTTCCACGTGCGTCCCGGGGAAATAGTAAGCATCGTAGGCGTTAACGGCGCGGGGAAATCAACACTCATCAAATTGTTGCTTGGTCTCTACCAACCCAATGACGGAACAATCCGCTATGATGGCGTAGATGCCGCGTCAATTGCACCGGAACAGATAGCCCTTAACTGCGCCGCTGTTTTCCAAGATTTTACGCGGTTCCGTAGACCCGTGAGGGAAGAACTCGTGCCGGGACCGCCGGGTCTCCACATTGACGATGATACCCTTTGGAGCGTTATCAACGCCGTTGGTATCGGTGATCGTTTTCAAACCCTTCCACACGGTTTAGATACATATCTGGACCCTTCACTCGGCGAAGATGGGGAAGGTGCCGAGTTATCTGGTGGAGAATGGCAAAAAGTCGCGCTTGCGCGGGCTTTGGCACGAAACCCCCAAGTCCTTGTCCTTGATGAACCGACGTGCTGCCTTAGATCCACAAGCTGAAGTCGAACTCTACCAACGTTTTGTCGAACTCGCGGCTGGCAGGATGACGTTCCTGATTTCACATCGTATCGGATCCGCTCGCCTCGCCGACCGTATCTTGGTATTGGATGCAGGTCGTATTGTTGAAGACGGCACGCACGAGACGTTACTCGCTAAGGATGGACGCTACGCCCATTTTTTAGAGCACAGGCACACTGGTATCAGTAGAAACTGCTCACAAGCATGGAAACCGTCTGTCTTGACCGAACCGCAAGGAATAATTAAAAATTCTTTGTAGCACCCAAAACCAAGCCCGTAATGTAATGGAGGGCGACTGTAAGAAATGGCACGTCAACCCATAAACCCACGTTATTTACCCGCACGGAATAATTAAAAAACCGCAAGGAATAATTAAAAAACCGCAAGGAACAATTAAAGAATGCGAAATGTAACAGAAACATTGAAGACATGGGGATCCGTAGTTAAAGAAAGCCTCGTCGCCTATATCCGGACCTTTTCGATCACTTGGCAGAACGGTTCATTGGCACTTTTGGGCGTACTGCTTCTCACGCTGTTGCTCGGTGTCCTACCTGCCGGTCAGTTTTTTGTGACGGAACGCTTAATCAATGCAATCATCGCCGCTATAGGGGATGCCAACTGGTGGCAACAAGTCGTTCCGTGGTTGATAGGTTTGATCGGTTTACAAATTCTTAACATCCTTATCGATCTGTTACGGGAACCGCTGCGTCTCCACGTCGGAGAAAACATTGAGGCATGGATGAACGAGAATATCGTTCGGAAATCCAATACAATAGAGTTGACTGAATTCCAGACACCAGAATTTCAAAACGCGCTGGCGCGAGCACGCGCAATGTCCGGTATAGAACTTGATGAGATTGTCTGGTGGATCTTTGACAGTCTCCAACAATTAATTAGTGCCGTTACACTCGGTATTGTGCTTTGGCGTTATCATCCGTTGCTGGCATTGCTCCCCATGGTCACAGGTTTAGCTTCTTGGTGGAGCGGTTCACGTTTTGCTGCCAGTGCTTACAATCTTGATGTAGAACAAACACCACAGCGACGAGAGCGAGATGCATTAGAAGGAATTCTGACGGATCGTGGAGCAGGCAAAGAAGTTCGGTTATACCAAGCGCAGGATTTATGGATCACGCGCTGGCAAAAGTTATGGAAAGCGTTAATACAGGAGCAACACGTAATTGAGCGGCGCAAATTCTTCGCACACCTTGCGATTGACATCGCACGCGGTTTGTTGTACGCTTGCTCGCTCACTGTTTTATTGCTGGAGGTATTTCGTGGTGGGTTAACCGTTGGCACTTATATCGCCGCTACCGCCGCCCTCATTCAATTGGATGGTATCTGGAATGCAGTCACCAGTTATTTTCAGTGGATAGGAAACGAGATGCGCCGTTTGTCAGGAGACTTGTATCCGTTTTTAGATCGCGATTCAGACACAATCAAGGCAAAGACAGGAGGCGAATACCCTTCAGAATCTTACGGAAATCTATTCCAGACCACTGAAGAGCCTCCATATCTCCGGATAGAAAACGTGTCATTCCTCTATCCAAATACGCAAGTACCCGTGTTAAATCATATAAACGTGACTTTGAAAAAAGGGGAGCGAGTCGCACTGGTAGGACCCAACGGTGCGGGGAAAACCACACTGGCACGTGTACTGTTGGGACTTTACTATCCACAGACAGGCACAATTCATGTAGGAGATACCCCGTTAAACGAAGAGAATCGTCAAGAGTGGTTGACGCATTGCAGTGCCGTTTTTCAGGACTTCACCAGCTACCACCTCACCGCACGCGAAAATATTATCTTTGGAGATTTAGAACATCCCGAACGTATGGAAGAGGCATCCATCGCGGGTGGGTCAGCCTCAGTTGTTGATGGGCTCACCGCAGGTTACGAGACAATGCTCGGTCCCACCTTTGGAGGGCGCGATCTCTCCGGTGGCGAATGGCAACGCCTCGCAACAGCCCGGAGTTTCATGCGGGAAACCCCATGGCTGGTTGTCCTCGATGAACCGACTGCATGCACTCGATCCGCTCGCTGAACAGGCGGTCTTTGAACGATTTATTGAACGGAGCGCAGGACGGACATCGGTGTTAATCTCGCACCGTCTCTCCTCTGTACGCACCTGTGATCGGATTCTTGTAATTGATAACGGAACAATCGTTGAAGATGGGGACCATGAGACGCTACTGGCAGAAGATGGGCTTTATGCCCAGTTTTTCAGAGCACAAGCGCAATGGTACGTTTGAGGACAAGTTTTTTAATTACAAACTAAGCGCGATCCCTTACTCCGATTTAAGATTGTCCGCCAAGATCTTAATCAACTCAGCCAAGGTGGGAAACTCGTCACGTGCTTCAGGTGGGAGATCTGCGAGATGCGTGTCCCCAATAAACCGATACATGTCCGCCGCACCCGTCAAGATGTTGGGTGTCAACCCGACATGCGCGAAAGTTGCCGAAATCTCTTCCATCTCTCCGATCCAGCGTCTCGCTTTCGGTGGCATACTCGGCAGTCCTCTCTCCATCCTCTCAAAAAGTGCCGATTGACTCAACTGAAACTCCGCAGTGAGTGCCTCCGACACCCCTAAAACGGATGCCGCTGTGAGCAATTCGGTGCAGAGCGCGGTTAACCCTTTTGTCAGGGAGGCATAGCACATCTTAATCGCCGAGGCGAGTCCTATCTCTGCGCCGAGAGCCCGCACATCTAATCCATAATTGTTGAGTTCTGAAAATAGGTCAAGGTCAGGTCCCGATGCGTAGAAGCGCGTCGCTCCTGGGGTACGAGGTGGTGGACCGATGATGGATGCATCGACAAACGTTCCACCTGCCGAGGTGATGATGTCCCCCAATTTACGAACCGTCTGCGGCGCAATGGCGTTGCAATCGGTGTATGTTAACGTAGTGTCCACCTGCTGCAGCGTTTCTGCGACTGCTGACGCAGCGGACATCGCCTGTGCAGGCACCATGATTGAGAGGATAAGATCGGCTTCCGTGACGAATTGTGAATATGTCGGTACGTTCACAATGCCTGCTTTCTCGGCAAGCTGCTGGGTGCGTTGACTCCTTCCTGTCAGACAGGTGATGACGCGCAAACCGTTTTCACGGAGAACATTCCCGACGGTGTGTCCCATATCACCGGGGCTTAAAATTCCAACTGTGCTGAGCATAGTTACAACTCCTCTCTTTTTTAGCACAACTCATGCAAATTTAGTAGGCGCGCTTTCAAAGCGCGCCTATAGGAGAAAGGTTTACCGATAAATCGCACAAAATCTATCTTAAATCTGAATGCCTACATCACTGAGCGCCTTGAATGCCAATATTGCACCGAGCAGAATGACGACAGCAGCACTCATAATCGGCAGGCGTTGGAGCCAGATGCCTTCGCCCGTAAAACGCGCAATCAACGGTTTTGCCAGCACCATCAAGATGCCGATAGCAACCAACACGGCGGCAAGTCCCAATGAGAAAGCACATAGGATAATTAGACCCCACACAAGTTTGTTGAGGCTAATCGCAAATAGAAGCCCAATGAGTGCATCGACACATGGCACAATACCACCGGAGATACCGAGCGATAGTAAACCCCAAAAACCGGTCCGTTCTGATGGGGCATGGCTATGCGTCCGCCCACCATGGCTATGTGAATGATCGTGGTCATCGTCGTGCGAATGTCCATGATCGTGATCGTGGTCATCGTCGTGTGAATGTCCGTGGTCGTGATCGTGGTCGTGATCGTGGTCATGTCCATGATCGTGGCTGCGTGCGCCGCCGCTATAATATTGTTTCATGTTCTTAGTAAGGAGCCACGCGCCAATGCCGACAATCAAGATCCCAGAGAATAGACTCAACCATGGGACAACATCATCTGGTGCAAAACTCCCCGCTACGAGCATGACGATACCCAGTGCGATGACGCTGAAAGTATGCGTAAAGGTAACAACAATCCCGAGGAAAACAGCGTCAATTACTCTACCTTTAGAGCCGACGAGGTAAGCAGCGACTATGGCTTTTCCGTGTCCTGGTGTTAATGCGTGTAAACCGCCAAGCACGAATGAGATGACGAGGGCAGCAATTGCAAATTGAAGCGTAAGCGGTTGGGTCATAAACTCCTTTATCCGGTCGCCTGAATGTTCATGCCCTTCATCAGCAAAAGCCAATGCACACGCCATAACACCGATAAGAATGATACTGGTTTGCAATATACGTTTACAAGCTGCCCTGCTAAAACAAAGATGTTGAAGCATAAAAAAATCCAATTGCTCTCGAGAGCGTACCGATCTCGTCAGAAACCGCTGATCCGACCATCGGTCAGATCATAGCGACACCCCATAATTAAAAAATCAAAACTAAACCCTTGCAAATTTCTGGAAACGCCTGTCAGCAACGACTTCACTGACATAGATGTTCCCGTTTGAATCGATCCAGATGCCGTGCGGGGAATCACTGAATTGTCCGGGAGCATCTCCCTTCTCACCCCACCGTCCGATGACTTCACCCTCAAGCGTCATAATGCTGATGCGCTGCCCACCTTCAGCGATGTGAATGATGTTATCACTATCAATGAAGAGATCGTTCGGGGAACGGAGGTCTGTCCACTCAGTCAAGTATTCGCCGTTGTTGTTAAAAATTTGACAGCGAAGGTTCCCACGATCGAGAATATAAACGAGGTCATTATGGTCGACGGTAACATCGTGCGGGAGGTTAAATTCTCCAGGTCCCGTGCCGGGTGCCCCCCATGAAACGATAACCTCGCCATCGGCAGTCATTCGGTGCACCCGCGACTGTCCGTAGCCATCAGAGACGTACATCTCCCCAGACGTTGAAAGGACAGCACGCGTCGGGTTGATTAAAAGGTCCGCCCGGTGCGCCCGGTTGGTTGACAGTGCCGAACGTCTCTAACAATTCCCCATCAAGCGAAAATATCCGTACAGTGTGATCGACGGTGTCTGTGGTATAGATTTTATCGTCGGGACTCATCCAGATACCGTGCGGTTTCTGGAAAGATATCCTTGCCCCATTCAGTGACGAACGTGCCATCAGCCTCGAAAACGAGCATAGCAGGTTGCGGACTACGATTATAGACATAGACTCTGTCATTTGAGTCGCACGCCACGCCGGAAACGAGCCCGAGCTGCGGAATCATACCCCAACCCTCCACGACTTCATACTGATAATCACCTGTCCCAAAAGTTGCCATAATGATGTCTCCTGTTAGGTGTTAATGTTTGCGTGCTTAGAAACGATGGACTTCAGAATCTGGACGATGTGTTCGGCATCCGCAGTTCCGTTGTAGCGAGGCGAAAATTTGATATGAAGGGTCGGTTTTTCGGTTTCAATATCCGCAACGGTGCCGAGCACGAAAGTCCAATCGTCAGTGATAGTGTAACATCCAAAGATTTGTTGTTCTGGCTTGGCATCTGTTTCCCAATTGAGCCATGCGGCGGCGAGCATTTCGCCATAGAGTTGGAATTGGGGGTTAGGTGCATTGATGCCGCGCTTTGCTTCATGGACAACAAGATAAGGGGGCTGAATTCTGCCGCCGACTGAAGGGGCGAGTGCGCCATCGGCTTCGCCTTCCAATTCAAATGTAGGGTATCTGGCTTTGAGTGGAACACCTGCCCACGCCTGAATATGTCCGTGTTCTGCCAAACGTAACAGCGGATAGATTGCACGCCCCCAAATTGTGGCTTCGTTCATGATTGGCAGGTGGTCCCGGTGCACATCTGACTTTATGTAGTTTAAGTGAACGCGCTCTTCGGGAGTCAAGGCTATCTGCATTTTCTCCCATTCTCTTGACGTACCGCCCTCCTCATGCAGCGTCACGAGTACCACAAGGGTTTCTTCGGTGAGTTGTGATAATGCATAGGTGCACATGGTTTAAAACCTCTTTCGCGCTGTGCTTTTGACGCAGTTTGTTCGATGCCGGGCATAGCATGGGTTTACCCAAGCGACATCACTTCTGTTCGTCTCATTGCTGTCAATAATCCTACCTGATTTTTGGAGATATTGCAACATTTTTTCAACATCTCAAGACAGTTCGTTCTGATTAAAAGACCCCGTTTACGAACAAAACCGCTCGCGTCAGGTCTCCTTCCTGAAAACCAGTGGCGTAGAGAACATTCGTTTCGTCAATATAGGTATACCGATTCTCGCCGAAGAAATGTGTGATTTCAAAATTCAAGCGGAACGTTCGACTTAAGTCGTAATGTACACCTGCCCCCCAGTCAGAGAGGTTGGCATCGAAGTCGAAGAATCGGTAATTAAAACTGTCAAGGGCATCGTTGATGAAATCGACGCGGATGACGCTAAAATATGCAAAAGCACGCGCTTCCCGATAATTGTAGAGGCTGTGATCGCGAATCCACGTAAAGTCAAGCTGGATGCGATCATCCCAAGAGTTTTCAGTCGCTCGATCATCTTGATTGAACCGTCCGCGGAAGTCCTCAAAATCCCTTGCCCGGTAAAAACTCGTATCGGTCATTCGAACATAAGTAAGTCGATTCGACAATGCGATGCTGTACGCCTCATTGAGATCGTAAGAGAAAATTAAATTCGCATGTGCGGCATCCCGAATAATCTGTTCATCAAAATCGGATTTGGTATAGAGATCTGCGTCCAAATCATCTTGATTGTCAATTTCAACATCGTGCAAGTCGCGTGTATAACGGAGCTTGAGTTCCGTCTGGAACATCGAAGACATCAATGACGTGGTCGGTGCATATTTCCTAAATCGCAACTCTGCTGGATCAAGATAGTAAAGATTTCCACGCCCATCCATTCCTTTGAGTTGGAGTGCAACATCGGTTTCAACTTCTCGCCGGAATGGGATAAGTAGCTTCTGTGTATAGGCACCATCTGTGGTAAACCGTTGGATACGCCGTAGCCGATAGCGAAACAACCGTGTATCGCCATCGTAGCGTCGCGTCGGATCGTCAAGTCGTTTCGGAAGCGTGGAGGCGAAGTCCTTTAAGTACTTCGCTGTATCAGCAATAAGGAGTGTCCCATCTGTCAATGCCGTTATCCGGAAAGGTGCGATAAACTCCCCAGCTGCCTCGCCATACGTGCCAAAGGCACGCTCGAATTTCCCATGGGAATTATATTTTAGTACCCGATGCCCCTTCTCATCAACAATATAGAGATTTCCAGCTTTATCCGCCGCCATATCCGCGGGATGTGCGATGTGTCCTGCTCCCGGTTGGTCAAGAAAATAGCGGGCAACCGTCTTGCCGTTCGCATCAAGTTTGACGATCAGTTTATTCGGCACATCACTATCGCACACATAGACATTATTGTGAACATCGGTTGTTAATAAAAATTCTCGTTTCGTGTCCCCTTGTGGGATAATCAGCGCATAATTACCATCTGCATCCAAGCCGGGGGCGGCGGATTCAAGACGCTTTATCCGCTGGCTCAAATCTTGAATCGGGTAACTCGCGACAAATACACCGTGCGCATCAAATTTATGGATACACGGGCCGTAGTTGAAGATCTTGGGACCCTGCACTTCTTGTAGGTCTGCGCCTGAAATCTCCACGAACATCCAGTCCATTACATAGATACTACTATCCGTGCCAATAGCGATAGCCGTAGGCTTAATGAACCGAAACTCGCTCTCTGCCTTCATCTGGATCTCAAATACAAAAACCCCCATTTCATTGAACTTCTGGATTCGGAAGTTATCTGTATCCGTTACATAAATGCCGCCGTCAGGTCCAAACGCCATGAACACGGTTTTTGCGAATTGTGCTTCACCCGCCCCTTTCTCACCGAATGCATTAACAAATTTGAATTCCTGTGCGGCGTTTACAGACATTGGAAGCAGGAGTAGCAGACAAAATATTCTTATTTTTCCTTGCGGTTAAACAACATGCACCTGAACTTTCAAGTGTGTTCCTTAAATCCGCCCTCCATTACATTACGGGCTTATGTTTTTGAATTTATGTTAAGATTCAGGAACATCCGGATGTTTTTTGTGGATATTGTCCAAAACACCATTGATAAATTTAGGGGAGTCCGGGGTACTGTAAGATTTAGCAATCTCAATAGCCTCGTTGATCGACGTTGCCGGATCAATGTCGTCAAGATAGAGAATTTCATAAGTTGCACATCGCAGAATAGAGAGATCGACGACAGGCATTCGGTGGAGTTTCCAATTTTCGGATGTGTTTTGAAGTACTGTATCAATCGCCTCCAAGTGCGCAGTCGTGCCTTCAACGAGTTCCAGCGCGAAGGGACGGAGTTCTACCGATGTGTCTTGGCTTTGCCAAAATCGCTCCATAACAATCGGCACCGGAGCGGCGGAGAGTTGAATCTGATACAGTATTTGAATCGCAACGATGCGAGATTGTCTACGACGATACATATTTTTAATTTACCTTGCGGAGGAATAACATAACTTTAGATGTTAACGGGTCTCTCGTGATAGCACCCACACGCTAAAGCGTGGGGCTTCGGTTTCGTAGCGACTGCGGTTTTCTCAAAGAGTCCACCGTCTTAGTATCGCTCCACCTGCAGGCAATTATGCCGAATCAGAACGGTTTTATGGTCTCCTTAGACCGCTACCCCTGCCTGCAAAATGTTTATCGCAGCGTTTATATCTCGGTCATGAGAGGCGCTGCAGTTTGGACAAGTCCAATACCTATCGGAAAGTGTGAGTGTTTGGTTCTTATGTTTACAGACGTGGCAAGCTTTCGTTGTCGGTTGCCACTGTCCTGATTTCGCAAACACTTTACCATATTTGGCACACGTCCATTGAAGTATCAATGAAAACTCACTGAAGGCTATATCAGAGACTTTGCGTCCCCAAAGTTTTTTCATACCTTCAAGATTGAGCGTCTCAATCGCAATCTTATCGTATTTCCGAACAAGGCGGAGGGCTAACTTGAAAAACCAATCGCGTCTTCTATTGGCTATCTTCTTATGGACGCGGGAGAGGTGTCGTTTCGCACGAAACCAGCCACTCGAAAGATATTGTTTACGGGAGAGCGCCTTGTTTGCGGAACGGATTGCGGTGAGACTCTGTTTATAGAATTGTGGAGAATCTATCTTTATGCCATCTGAAAGTGTGAGAAATGTTTTACAACCAAAGTCTGCCCCTGCCTCATTACCGGTCAATGGGAGTTTCTTGGGTGGTTTCGGATTCTCACAGACGAAAAATAGAGAGTAGTCGCCTACATTATCACGCTTAATGATCACCTTCTTTAGTGTGCCTGTCCATTTACGGTGTTTCCAAAAGGTGAAGGACTTTTTCAGACAGTTGATCGTCAGACGATTGCCTTCTATTTTGAAACCTGACTGTGTGAACGTCACGGAGTTATACTTGTGATTTGGCTTGATTTTCGGTTTGCCGACTTTGCGGTTCGTTTTGCCTAACTTTCTGTCTTCTATATTATCAAAGAAACGCTGATAGCCTAAATCTATACGGATCGCAACGTCTTGGATCATTTGCGACGGGAATTGATTCCAATGCGGTTTGCTTGTTCGTTTCAACTTCGTTATGTGTTTCAGGATACGAGAGAGTGCGGCATACTTACGATAGATACGATAATAGCGTCTCTGCAATAATATCAGGTGGACATGCACGCTATGCATATCGTCTATCAGATTGCCAATCTGTATGATATTTGACTGGTGATATAACTCGTATTTTTCTGTTTTCATAGGAATCGGGCTACGGTTTCGTTAAACCTGCAGAATCTAACTCAGAATGCTAACGTGCGCAGACTTTTTCGCATACGCTACTTTAGTATTATACACAGTTTCGGACAGCATGTCAAACAAAACTCCAAAGGCATTCAGGTAATTGTTTGTGTTAACCCCCGTAGGAATCGCGAGCACAGCTCGCTCCTACAGCAATAGGTTCTTGAGGGTATTACCGATTTAAATACTGAAACTTCATAGAGATTATCGGTTCTCAAAAACATCTCGTAACTGATAACTGAAAACCCTAAACCAACGTGAACGTGAGGTTGAGAATAAAAGTACGGTAGAAACTGAGCGAGAGAACCCCTAAGTCTCACCCAAGTCCTGAACTCTGAAACGCTCTGCTTTAACTGTCGCACACTTGTCAGCACCTAACCGAGAAGGGCGTTAAAAAACAACTTAAACGTCCCGCAGGTTTGTGCGCGGAACTGCGGTCGAAATCCGAAAAGGATGACACGCCCCGCACCATACTGCGCCGAGACCATAGCCGCCTGTTCCGCGAGTTGGTCTTCGCCGACAAGCCAGCCGCTTTTCAAGATAGCCTTTTCTGGATATTGAACAACGAGTTCGTATCTTTCGCTGAAGCGTGAGTGTTGAATCTCGAATGCCGGGCTATCCCAGAACAGTACGAGAGTTTCATCAGGCATGCCGTACCCGAGCGGGTGATTTGTGTCAACAGCCGCTTTCAATGTCGAGCCGGGACAGAAGAACGACTTCGACGACTTCCCTTTAAGGGTATTGCTGACCTGCAAATCCAATTTCTCAATTGCAAACTCACACGCTTCGTTAAGGGCAAGTAGCGTTCCACCCGCCTCGACGAACTGCTTAATCGCTTTGACACCTTCCTTACCAATGCCGCTCCGGTACGCTGGCGGAACGTCGAACTCCTTCGATTCATCTTCGTCGGCTTCGTCCTTTTCCGCTTTGCCGACGATCCTGTTGATCGTGTCGTTGGGGAGTATGAAAACGTCAAGTCGCTGACTCAGGTCGCCGCTCGTGATGTCATCGTCCTTCAACGTCTGATAGGGGAATCCGTACTGTTCAAGGACCAATCGCGTCCAACCTTCATCCATATTGCCCCCGTGGTATCGCTGGTACATACCGACGCGCAATTGCTGGACTTCATGCCGGGGGACCGAAAGTTCCTGTTCTAAGGCATAGAACGTGACCCCGGAATCGAGCGTGAACCCCTCAAGTGTCTCTTTTGATTCAGCGGGGACCACAAACGTCCCCGGTGGAAATTGCGTATCGCCGACTTCGATAGCCTCATCAACCCGTATGACTCGGATGTCTCGCGCCAGCAACTGGTTGACGAGCCTGAAACTTTCATTAAGTCGCCCGTCGAAGATATAGCCAAATTCTGATTCGCCAACCACCCGCCCCGTGGGCTGCTCGGGTGCTGTGAGCAGAGCGAAAATAGCGTTATCGCACGCCAAAGCATCGACAGGTTCGACATCCACGCCCATAAACTCGGCGATTGTGTCTGTCGCCGTATCATACGGGCGATTTGGTGCACCGTCCGGGGTGCGTGTCCAAGCGTCATCTGGGAAAAAGGTCTGTCCGAGCAGGGTTTTGATGATCGCCATTTTCGGCTGATTGAGGAAAATGGCGTATGTACCTGCCGGATAGGTTAAATCATTGGCGGTGAAGGCTTGCGTTGCTTTCTGGATGTCAATGCCCTGGGCGAGCAGTTTATTAATCAGATCCACGACGGTTAACGTATCATGCTGTATCGGACGGATGAGATATGCGTTCGGCGTACCCGTCGCGCCACGCGCTGTCTGCCGCTTCGCTTTCAGATATGCGTTCGACAGGATGGTATCCTTGTGCCGTGCGGCTAAATCAAGCAAGCCCCACGCTGCAATCTTCTGTTGCTCGACGATGTCGCGTAATCGCCACCAACCGCCCAACCACGGATGAGGGAAATTGGTCTGGGGTTTATAATGTGGAAACGCTCTGAGTTGCCCACCTTGGGATTTTAATTGCCCCTTGTGGATATACAGGGGCGTCGCCAACTTGGTGTGTGCAGATTCGGTCAAGATGCTGGCGATGTTGTGATAATTCCCAATCCAGTGGAAGCCGAGATGGCTCCACGCTGGAAATTGCGCGGCATTCAGGACACCTGTCTTCCCCGCTTCCTCCAGTCTGTATGCCATGTGCGCCCCGTACCAGCTCATTTCCCGCCAGACGAGCGGGTCGGCGTGCGGGTGAATCGGTTCACAATAAGGAGCGACGTACAGGCGTGCCCCGTAACTCCCCATCTCGTGGTGGTCTTGGAACACTTGTGGGTGCCACTCCTGAAACAGAATCCGTGCGACGTATTGCGATTCGACCAAATTCAACATAAAGGCGTCCCGGTTGTTGTCGTGCCCGGCATATTTATGATAAAGCCACGGAAGCTCACAGCCCTCATATTCGGTATCGAGATATTTGTTGTACCAATCTGTTGTCATGATCAGACCGTCGGGGTTCAGGCAGGGAAACATCAGGAAAATCACGTTATCAAGAATGCGTTGGGTTTCCGCATCCGTTCTGGTTATCAAATCGTAGGTGAGTTCCGATGCCATCTGCGTGCTCCCGATCTCCGTGGCGTGAATGCCCATTGACTGACAGAGCACTACCTTTCCTTCGCTGATCAGGGACTTCACCGCGTCCTCGGAGAGTCCCCGGGCATCGCTTATTTGGGCGTTGACCGCTTGCAGACGCGCTAAATTCGCCAGATTTTGCGGCGATGAGATGAAGGCTAACAGAAACGGGTTCCCCTCTGTGGAGGGACCCCATATCTATGACTTGCAGGCAGTCGCTTTCCTGCTCTAACAGCCGCAGGTACGCAACGATCTTGTCCCAAGCGGCGATCTTACGGTCACAGCCAAGTTGGAATCCAAAGAATGCTTCGGGGGAAGTCACTTGATTGTTCATCATGTCTCCTTTTTCGATGATTGGTACTTGAGAATTCTAACCTCCAGATTGTATCACGATTCCTTGAAAAATTGAACAGAAATTCTTAACAGGACTTACGCCGTTCAGCGATCACACCGCGGTTCTATCTTTCTCTGGTATTCGGTATTGGATTCAAGATGCAGAAGTTCAGGGATTCAGGATTCACGTTAAACTCATAATCACACCTACCAGCAAAAATGTCCCCTTAAATTTCGGATTTCACTATAATATGTCAAAAAGGCATCTACACTGCTTGAAATACTTGACAATTCTGTGAAAAACTTTTAGAATTCCGCGTATTAGCCTTCAGCGAAAGGAGTTTTAATTATTCCTTGCGGTAAAACAATGTGGATTAGCACTTTAACGCTCCTCTCTTAAATCCGTCCTCCATTTCATTACGGACTACAGATTTTGGTAGAAGACAAGAAGAAAAAGGAACAAACTTGTGAATTTACACAAAAGGGAATATGGGACCGTCGCTGGACCACACCCTCGCACTGCCCAAGCGGGGTTTGAAATGCTCCTTGCAGGTGGGAACGCCGTTGATGCCGCTGTTGCCGCCGCCTTTGCGGAAGGTGTTGTTGAGCCTTCGCACAACGGTATCGCGGGCTACGGGGGTTGTGTTCTTATCTATCGCAAGAAAACGCAAGATGTTATCGCGATAGACTATAACACTGCTGCACCGGCTGCCACCTCTGAAGATATGTTTACGATTGAAGAGGCTCCCGACGCACCTGCCGGCTACAGGGTGCCGGGACGCGTAAACGTTCATGGACCGTTGTCTATAGGTGTACCGGGGGTCGTCGCTGGCTTATGCTTAGCTTTAGAAGAGTTCGGAAGTCTGCCACTCACGGATGTCCTCCGACCAGCCATCAATTCTGCCCGCTACGGCTATGCTCCGAACAGCGCGAACCGCGGTGGGATAGCAGGAAATGCCGAACGATGGAAACAGGACTTCCCTGAAACGGCACGGGTCTTTCTCAAAAATGGTAGACCGCCGAAGAAAGGGGAAACACTCACTAATCCTGAACTCGCCCGAACCCTGGAGGCAGTCGCTGAAGGCGGACACGCCGCATTCTATGAAGGTGCAATAGCCGAAACAATAGCAAACCACATTCAAGAATTAGGCGGATGTCTAACCGTGGACGACCTCAAGAACTACCGCCCCATCATCACGCAACCTTACAAAATTCAGTATCGAGGCTACTCGGTCTATACCGCACCGCTCGGAGCAGGTGGACTGACCACCTTACAGATGCTCCGGTTGGTGGAGGGATTTGACGTGGCAGCGATGTCCGTCTCTGAAAGGTTTCATCTGTTCGCTGAAGCCATGAAAGTCTGCTGGCCCGAAAGACTCCGTCGATTCGGGGACCCAACTTTCGTTGACATAGATATCGAAACGGAACTCTCCGATAGTTTCACCGCTACACTCAGCGAAAAACTGAGGGCGGGGCTTGAATTACCTCAACCGGGGGAGATCGTCTACCATGAACCGATGAACTGTACGAGTCACATCTCTACTGCGGACGCACACGGGAATATGGTATCCCTTACACAAACGCACGGCGGTGGATTCGGTTCAATGGTGACAGTGCCGGGAACAGGACTCCTCTTCGGACACGGTGTCGGACGTTTCGACCCAAGACCAGGGATTGCGAACTCAGTAGGACCCGGCAAACGTCCACTTCACAACATGGCTCCATTTCTCGCCACGCGAGATGGTAACCCTTTCGCCACTTACGGTATTCCCGGCGGCAGAACTATCCCGAACAATCAGCTTAACATTAGTGTTAATCTCTTCGATTTGCGGGTGCCGATGCAAAGCGCACTGGACGCGCCGCGGATCCATACAGACGGAGCTGAACCGATCCAAGTCGAACCTCGTGCAGGCGAAGAGCGCTCGCAGCACTACGGGAACTCGGACACGAGGTTACCCCAAGTGCAGGCATCGGAGGTCCAGGACACGGTGTCCGCGTCTCGGACGATGGAACTCACCACGATGGTGGCACGGATCCGCGCGGTGAAGGTAAGGTAATGCGGAAATAACAGGAGATCTGGCAATGGCTTTCCATAACGATGCACTCGCTGGACTACATATCGTTATTTCCGGCGGGTGCGGAGCGATCGGACTTGGAATCATCAAAAAATTAATGGCGCACGGCGCAAACGTAACGGTGAACGACATCCTGTCGGATCAACAGGCAGCAGACCGACTCAGTCAGAACGGCATTGACATACGAAAATAGACTATGTTAAGGCAGACCTGACGGATGCCGATGAAACCGATATGCTGGTAAATACTGCTCGTGAACGGTTCGGACCTATTCACGTCGCTTTGTGCCATATCGGTATGGTGATTCCGAAACCGTTGTTGGAATACAAAGTAGAAGAGTGGGATGAGACCATGGCGGTCAACGTGCGGACAGCGTTCTTATTGGGCAGTGCCGCATCCCGTTCAATGCTTGAAGATGGCATTAAAGGACAACTTATTTTTACGACATCTTGGGTCGCTGATGTGCCGTGGCCCGATATTGGACCGTATAACGCAAGCAAGGCTGCAATGAAGCAGTTAATGCGTTCCTTTGCACGGGAACTCGCGGACAAAGGAATTCGCTCAAACGCAGTCGCACCCGGGATCGTCAGCGTTGGGCTTGCCAAACAACAGTGGGATACGGATCCAATCTACCGTGCTCGGGCACAGAAAGCAATCCCTCTTGGCGTTATGCAACCGCTTGATTCGGTGGCAGACGCCTTTCTATTTTTGTGCAGCACCGCTGCAGATTATATGACTGGGACAGTGCTACTCGTAGACGGTGGATGTAGTCTGTATCCAATGGATGACGCCTAATCCGCCAAGGATAGACAAAACAAATTTTCGCGTGGTTTAGTAAGCAGGTTTCGGGGTCAGACGGTTCTCATCTATTTTGAAACCAAAGCCGAGGACCGAAACCTTTCAGAAGTAACGGCATCAATCGGAAAATTCCAGCAGCGTTTTCCGATGCAATTTCAATCTCGTGTTTCGTAAAAGGCACGAAAAGACGGAGAGATTATGTCACAATTTGTAAAAGCCGCGACAACCGACCAGATTCAACCCGGTAGATGTATTGGTGTGAAAGTCGAAGGTGTTTTCATCGGCATCTACAACGTGAAGGGCGCGTATTACGCCATGAACAATATCTGCCCACACCTCGGTGGCGTTTTGAGTTACGGCTTTTTAGATAACAACTGTGTTACCTGCCCACTCCACATGTGGGAGTTTGATGTAACCACAGGTGCGTGTGTGTGGCCAGGTGAGGAGAAATTACCCACCTATCCTGTTAAAGTGGAGGGCGAAGATATCCTTGTGAATGTGGACACACCCCTCCAAGCGAGTTAGCACCTGTTTTGGTAGAGTTTTGGTAGAGCGGCGCGGTCATCCGATCGCGCCCGTTGAAAAGAAGGAGAAAGACTATGGCATATCTGCTCACCGGTGGCATGGGGTGCATCGGTACTTACGTCATCCGCGACCTATTGGCAGCCGGTGAAAAGGTAGTCGTATACGATTTTGCTTACGACCTAACCATTCCCAAAATGGTACTTGCAGACGAACAACTTGAAGGGTTCACCTTCGTGCAGGGCGACATCACCGACCTGCCACACATCCTGCGCACTATCCAAGAACATGAGATTGATCGGGTTATCCATCTCGCCTCGTGGCAGGTCCCGGCGTGCAATGCGAATCCACCGGAGGCACTAAAGGTGGTTTGCGAAGGCACGATCAACATATTGGAAGCGGCGCGTATTTTCAAGCTCAAACGTGTTGTGTGGGCAAGTAGTGTTGCAGTCTTCGGGGCACCAGAGGATTACAACCACGAACAGATTCTCAACGATGCCCCCCACTATCCGAAGTTCATCTATGGGGCATGCAAATCCCTCAACGAGAGATACGCAATGCACTATTTTGATGCCTACGGTGTAGATTCGATCGGGCTTCGGTTTACTGCGGTCTATGGGGTCGGTAGAACCCGCGGCATGAGTTCATTCACAACGCAAATGATCGAAGCAGTGGCATTAGGTAAACCATACGTCTGTCCGTTTGGTGATGATGCGGTGGATTGGCAGTATGTAGAGGATGTCTCTCGTTCGATCGTGGTCGCTTGCACCTGTCCAACAACGCAGACACGCGTCTTCAATGTGAAGGGCGGTATCCGCCCCGTCAAAGACGGCGTGGCATATCTCAAGACCTTAGTGCCAGATGCACAGATTACGTTGGAACCAGGGGTGTTTGGAATCTCGTGGGACTACGACGCAACGCCTATCGCTGAAGAGATGGGATTTACGCCTGACTACACGATGGAGCAAGGGATTCTGAAAACGTTCAATCGTTTCCGAGCGCGCGCAGGGTTGGCGCAAATATAGTTGTCATAGGGCAGAGAGTGCTCCGGCTATTAGCGAATGAAAGAATGATGATGTTGTTCAATTCTCAAACTAATAGTACTTTTTCATCTGTGCCCAAGTGACAGCTAACTTCCCGCGGGCATCAACAGACAGAACCTGTTCCCACGGGATATTTTTTCCTTTGGAATCGGCTTGATGTATATCATCAAAGTTCGGATGTCCCCAGCCACCACTATTGTTATCAACAACAACAATTTGGGCGGTCTTGCCGTTGAATTCGGAGATGTCCCACTCTACTCGTGCCATGGTTTCGGTAGCTTTACCGGTTGATGTGAGCACGACTTTTCCCTTAATCTCCAGGTTAACACTACACGGCGCGGGGTCATCTTTCCATGGGTGATTGCCGCCCCCGACGAGGAAATTCATCGTTTTTCCGATAATCGTGAATTCGATTGAGGTGAGGGTGCCTTGGGGTCCATCGCCCTGCGTGGCACCTGGATTCTGTCCGAGTTTTTTCCCTACCTTCGGACCTTGGTACTTTTCATATAAACCTAACCACCAATCCCCTTGATGCTCAGAGGGCTGACCGCGGCCCCGCGCCGTTGGGTTATCTCCCCAAGTTGGCTGGAAGTCGAATGCCACATCGTCTTTCTCCCAATCCGTGAGGTCACCCGTCTCGAAATCGTTGTTAAACGCTCGCGCTGAGGCGATATTAATGGGTAAAACCAACAGTATCAGGAGGACGGAGGGCATCATGAGCGAGAAATACATTTTTTTCATGAGAAACGTCTCCTTCTGTTTCCGAAAAGTGTGTGCTTCAGGTTATCTGGGCAGCAACTTGTGAACATACGTCTGAAAGTCGAACAACATCATCGCTTCTTATAATACACTATTGTGAAAATAATGTTAAGGAAAATCGTGAATTTCGGTACGAAGAGATATTACCGCTACTTATCATAAAATGGGCAATAGAGTCGATGCTCTCCGAAAATCCTGTATTCGCCGAGCGTTAGGACAACCTTTTCGCATGCTGACAAGGCAGTAATGCGACCAACACACCGCCAAAAAGTCCGATAAGCGCGAGGAAGACAATCAGTATAACCATCTGCCGCGAGAATTTTAACGTTGGCGTCTTATTTTCCATTGTTGTTAACATCCTATTCTAATATGACAATTGTAATAAGGTATCCCATCAGAAATGCCAGTCCTGTCACCCAGACACAGATAGCTACCATCTTGAGGCGATGAGAAATTAAAAATTTGAACACAATTGTGGATATAATAATGGCACCCAATGCTACAAACCCAGGTGCCTGACGCTCTGCTTCAAGCTCCATTACCCAAATTCCAAAATAGAAATAACTAGAAAGTAGTGATACAATACCAACATGTTTTTTATTTTGTAGGTCAAACTTTAATTTCATCTAACACTTCACTCCCTTTAATAGGGTTCAGCATCACGAAAAGATGTCCCATAGAATCACAAAAATCCCACCTAAAATCGAAATAACCCCAACAATAGGGTACACCTCTCAATGAACCTCTCAATTGAAGTAGAAGCCAATTTCCTGATGACAAGACGTGCCCAGGCTGCTAACGCACAACCAGTCAAAAGAACTTGCACTGCCTGCTCCCAATCTGCGATTTCGCGAGTTACACCGAAAACAATAGCATCTCTTATCGCGAGGGCATCAGACGTGAGCGAATATCCAGCTGCAGCAGCGACGAGAATTGCACTAATAAACAAGGCACGGGTTACAGGAGATATGTTCAACACAATGTAAACCCATATCAAAATTGCCAGATTCTCAAAAGCTGAAGGTAACCACTGGATCCATTCCCACTGACTCACAGTTGGAAAATTGCGGAACTGACGCTCTAACACGTTAGCCAGTCCCAACCCGCCAATGCCACAACCTAAAGCAAACATAACATAGCAAGCAATAAATACAGAACGAGGTACACGCGGAATACCGAGTACTATTAGACCTGAAACAGTCACGGTAACACCAGTTCCAATCAAGAAGAGGACACTGTCACCATCCGGCGGAATTGCCATAGTCCCAAAAATCAATGGATTCACCAGTATCGTCTTCCATGTTACCTGAGATACTCTTGTGGGTCTGTTAACCACCATATATTCTTTCCTGTTCTGGTTTTGCAGTAGTCATCTGCTTGATAAGAAAAGTAGAACGAGCAGACAGATGTGGATATCCTTTACCACTTGTTCTACATTAAAATATAGCATCGAAAACATGCGTAATTCCGGCCAAAACAGTGGATGTCCCACTAATTAGTAAGCATATTACAAATAACTTGCGATTGTTAATAGATGCTCTCCGCGTGACGAGAAATGCCCATCCAATCATTGCACTCCCATTTAAAATATAGGCTACTCCTTTCGCCCACTCTGAGGTTATTCGAGGCACATCAGAAAGAACCGCTTCTGTTGTCAGGATACCATAAATCAGAGAGTATACACCTGCAAGAGCAAAGAGAACAACAGCAACAAGCGGTGGACGGGATACAGGCGATATCTTCAGAACTATAAATACCCATGCCAAAATTCCCAGACTTGAACAGATCAAAGCAACACCGGCTACCCAACTGTCTTTTATTTCTACTTGAGTTTCAGTCAATAGTCTTTCTAAGAGTGTGGCAATTGTCAACCCACCAATAGCACCACCTAAGACAATCATAATACAGCTGGCAGTAGCAACGGCAACAGACCTGCTTTTAATGTACAAGGGACTGATCCCCAAACTAATCAACATACCACTAAGGGCAATCAGCGTCAGTATACTCTCAATATCAGGGCGCAATACAAAAAATAACCAAACCGAAAAAGCCTGTGTTACCTCCCATGAGGCTTGAGTATTTTTTGCTGGCTTGTCGAGCATTTTGACTTCTTTCTGAGGCTATCATATCACAGGCTTAGCAGCTTAGTCAGAAGAGTGAATGTAATTAGGTCCATTTAACGCGATCTCAACTTTTATAGGCAAATTTCGTGCCAATGCCTTTAAGAAAACGCAAATATTTGTATCAAAACCGCTTAAATTTCCAAGAATATTCTCACTTCAATACACGCAAAACAAAGACACACACTGGATTTGTCGAAAAGGCATCAATGATCGTCTTTTTCCAAAACGTTATGATGTTAAAGAGCATTGAATTCGTTTTCGATTTGTCTTTTCTTTGCAATAATCAAAAACTGCGTGTTTTATGGCAAAAATTGTGTGTAATTCTGCAAAAATTGATGCGTTGACTGATCGCGGTTAGAGAAAAGCCTATGACAGGTCGACAAGCTGCCTTGCGAAAATCAATCCGATGACGCAGACAATTGCTGTCAAAGTCCGCTTTTCGCTTTTGATGGCGCGTGTCCAAGAAAAATCGTGGGGAGATGGTTCAGGATAGGGATGGAATCGGGGAATAAAGCGTGGCACGCGATCTCGGTATGCCTGATAGACCGGACCGCAGGATTCTATCAGGTACGACTCCTCTACGGCAATAATCGGTAGGTATTGAAAGAAATAGCCAACAATTAACACTGCTACGAGCCAATACACATTCGCAACAAAACAAACGCCAAGACTGAGCAGGAAATTACCGAGATAGAGCGGATTGCGGACGTAACGATACGGACCTGTTGTGACGAGATCTCGCGCGGCACCAAGCGTTCTTGCACGGGTAGATGCTCCGGCATATCCGACCGCCCATATCCTGAGAAATTCACCCGTAGCAATGAGCAGCACGCCAATCACTACGGTGTACCACAGAGGCTCAGCAAAATAGAGTAGCGCGAGGATAAAAGGGATAGGTGTGAAACTACGGATTTTGAAGAAGAAGTTGCCAATTTTTCTAATTTTCCTTGCGGTTCGGTGAAGTAGGTTTGAATTTTTATTTCGGTGTACGCCAGATCATGATACCCCCAACAATAGCGTACAGGATGTTCGCTCCCCAACAAGCGAGAAACGGATGAAGTTTGCCGCTTTCACTCAATCCCTCAAGCGTTGCAAAGGAGACCGCCCAATAGATAAAAGAGAGAAAGAAAGCCATCACCAAACCCGCGAAGAAACCTGCTCTACCAAAACGGATAGCGATAGGCGCGCCAAGCATAACAACAACGACGGCTGCAAAGGGATACGCCGTTTTGTGATACAACTTCACCTGCTCTTTGCGCGAAATCTGTCCCGCTTCCTGTTTATAGGCGATCTGTTGGCGGAGTTCTTCGATTGTCATCGCCCTGGGATCCTTTTCACTCCCAATAAAACGGGCAGGATCTTCGTGCCGCTCTATCATATATGTATCGAAAGCTTCATAACCAACCTCCACCCCTCCTTCAAAGTGCCGGATGTATCCATCAGTTAATTGCCACTCGGTAGGCGTCCACGCCGCTGACTTCGCGAACGTCACACGAGCGAGTTCCGCCTTTGTATTATACTCATAGATAGTGAGCTGTTGAATTTTGCGAGCGTCCAAATCAATCCGCTGTAAGTAAAAGATACGGTCGCCTTTGCCTTTGAAGACGATGTTCCTGCCGCGACGCGGTCTCACCTTATTTTGTAAGAGATACGCTTCATGAAAGGCAGGCGACGCGACCCGGTTATAAAAAAGCGCGAAGAGTCCACAAATAACGAGTGTTACACTCAAAATAGGAACGAGGAGCCGGTAAACACTGAGACCGCTCGCTTTCATTGCAGTGAGCTCGTTGCTTTGTACCATCCTACCCAGCACAAAAAAGATAGCCACAAATGCAGCAACAGGCACCACCTCCATAATCCGACGTGGTGCTTGGAAGAGAACAATTTTAACAGCCGTCATATAAGCGACATCATCATCAAACTTCTTAATGTCCTTATCCAGCAAACGCACGATAATAATCAGGGCGATAAAGAACAAAAGCCCGACAAAAAAGGCTTTGAGGTATTCACGAAGCAGGTACCGATCTAAAATATTCAATTTTTAATTATACCTTGCGGATGAGTCATGGCATCTGTGAATTTAGCGGTTTTTGTGTTCGAGTCGCCCTCCATTTCATTACGGGCTTAGTGTCCGACTTTAAGAAGATGGTACAGGTTCCTCGAAAACATGCGCGTAACGTAGTGGAGCACAGTCCAGAGGCCAATAGTTTAAAATAATCCGCTTTCCACTTCGTTTCGGGTTACAGGCTTTGGATTTTGAAAAGAATCACAGGCACTGAAACTGACTGCTGATAGCTTCCCTTCGATTATGATTCGACTTTCCTATTGACAACAAGCGGCATCTTACTATTCCGGTCCCGCCACGTCCGCAGCGTCCCCTCGCCTATCATACGGATACTCAGAGCAATGCCGAAGATACCAATAACAACATTTGGAAGCCACATGGCAAGGGCAGGAGATAACATGCCGTTCAAACCTGCACTTTGCCCGATTTGAAGCAGTAGGTAATAAATCAAGATCACAGCTAAGCCGACACCAAACCCAATCATCCTACCGCTCTGTTTTACCATCAACCCAAGCGGCACGCCCATTAACCCGAATGCCAAACACGCGAAAGGGATAGAGAACTTTTTGTGATACTCAACCTGCGCAAAACGGAGTTTACTAAGGGTGTAGTCAGGGTTTTGGCTGGTTTCTACAGCAGATCGCAGGTCAGTGACGAATTCCTTAAGCTGGGAAATACGCATCGACCGTGGTGTCTTGTTCTGAAATGCACCGCGCTCCAGATCCTCGGTCAACTGCAGTGCAAGTTGTTGCTGCTGGAACTTTGTTACACGATACCCATCTGAATTATCGGTTGTCGGTTCGTAAGTGAGTCCATCGTAAAGCGTGAGCATGGCTCTGCCACTTTCAAAACCGAGACTGCCCTCTCGCGCGTGACTGAACCGAGGACGTCCACTCCAGATACCATCCCATATTTTGACCTCCCGCATGCGACCACTCTTGGCATCCGTGGATTCGTACATCCACAGCTTACCTTCTCTCTCCAACTCTTTCATGACGGTGGCTTCTTCCAAAATGAATGTCGGATTGTGTCTTTGGATGTCGCGTTTGAGCGTAGCGTAAGCAAGATTCGCCTTTGGCAGCGCGTAGTCCATCAATCCGAGATCAACGACGCTCAGCACCATTGTAATGCCTAAAAGGGGAAGCATAAGATGATGGAAAGCGACACCGTGTGCTTTCATCGCGATGATCTCATTATCAGTAGAGAGTCTTCCCAGAGAAAGTAAAATTGCGACCAAAGTCGCCATCGGAAGAGATAGCACAACTGTCGCTGGCATCACATAGGTGAGCAATTCGACAAGGTAAATCGGACTTATCCCTTTCTGCACAAAAAGCTTCGTCAACCGAAAAAGGTCATCGAAGATGAGGATAAAGGTAAAACAGATAAGTGCTATTATGAACGGTGGAAAAAATTCTTTAAGTATATACCGCGCTAATATTCTCATATCTTTGATAGAGCCGTAGATGTCTCACGATAGATGCGTTTTGCAGACATACCAATCAACGGATTTCAATAATTATTGGTTTCACTATAAACTGATGCCGTTCTTTTTTTATGAGTTGATTTGTGCCGGAAAAACCTTCATAATTTAATACATTAGTAGCAGCGCAGCCTGTTTTTAATTTGAAATTTTGCTATGAATGATGTTATCATACCCACATGAAACTTACGCTCGAATCAATTCAACTTACAACTGATGATTTGGCGGACGTAGCGGCACGTCATACTTCTGCCCAAGAAATCTACTCTCCAACAGCCCCAAGGCGCCCGACTGCCCAATTCGGTTGGCGTGACAGATGGTGGTTAAACCATACAGCAGCACAACAGGTTACCATTAATTACTGGTTCTTCGAGTCCCACGACGAAGCACGTACAGCCGCGGATGAAGGCAGATTCCGGCTTTCAGCGCAGACGGTGCGAAAATTGGGCGGACGTGATTCCATCTATCAATCTCCATCAAATGACCAACATGGACTGGGGGATGTAGTGTGGCAGGCTGGCGCGAATTTCCTTTTCGTACAACAAACCATCGTCGTGCTGGTAACGGAAATAGGAGGGCGGGTTCTCGAGGAAACAACCCTCCATATTGCCCGAAAAATTTCCGAGAAAATCCATAACGCGGTGCTGTCGAAACAGTAAGCGGGTAAATGCGAGCACGATTTAATAATCTTGATACCACGTCGCGGATTGCTTGGTAATCTGAACGTTTTCTACACCACCAAATTGGCGATGCTCAAACCACGGTAACGCGTTCTCCGCCGCAGCGTTTGCGTTCTTGAAGTTCATTGTCGCCTCGTTTTCCAAGAATTTCTCAACTGCCGCAGTGTCAGGATAGTATTGGACAGCATCCTTCCAGATGGCTCGTCCACAGAGAAAACCACTTGCACCAGCGCCAGCCGCGAGGTCAACGTTTTCAATGAACTCCTCAATATCCACACCGGCACTCAAAATTACCCATGGCAGTGTCGAGGTTTCGTCTAATTTCTGGCAGATTTCCTTCACTTCGGCGAGTTCATACGCCGAATCTCCCGCATAAAAACTGGTATCTTGATAATCTGCTGTATATTTTAGGTCGGCAGGAAATTCTAATTTCAGGATGTCAACTTTGTAGCTTGGATCCGTGAACTCCTCGACACTCCGAATCACAAGATCCGGTTTCTGTTTCGCGAAGGCGACGCTCTTAGCCGTACCTTCAAGGGCGTAACTGACTAATTCCAACAAAAACGGCAAATCCTGCTTTTCGCATTCGTCTCCGACATGACGTACAAAGGCTTGCTGGTGTTCAAGGGTTTCCGCGGAGGCATCAGGATGGTAATAGGCGAGGAGTTTAATAGCATCTGCGCCGGCGCGTTGTGCCTTGGCGATGCTCCAGTTTGCAATCGGATTGGAGAGACGTTCGTTTTCGCCGACCCCTTCGCTGACATAGCCTGACTCTTCATAGGCTAACAGCAATGCAACATCTCGTGGAATCGCGGTTATAGAGTAGGGATGCCCGTAAATTGGGTCAGTCAGGACCGCTGTAGCATTTGGGGAAAGGACTCGGGTAATCACAGTTTTCAGTGCTGCGACATCTTCGTATTGGACTTCAGCTTGTCCTTGTTGAGCGCATCTGCGAGTGCCTGTACCATGGAACCACGCTGGTCAATCGCCATCATTTTAAAGCGACCATTCGCATCGGCGAGTTTCATGATGCCCCGCAATTTACCAGAGGAAATATCGTTCATTAGCTTCTCCTTTTTTAATAGTTGTCAGTTGTCAGTCGTCGGTTATCAGTTAAGAGGTTATGGTTAAACCAGGGTCTTCCTCTTTAACTCTCACTGCGAGGCAAACTGAAAACTGATAACTGAAAACTAATTAGTATTCACGTTCAACGAAAAAACGGATTAAAGAGAAAAACAACTGCTTTGCCCGTCCATCAGGGACATGGGCAAAATTGTTCTTAAACCGTCCAGCGGCTTCCTGCAAGAGTGCCTGAGACCGCTGTTGCGCATAGGTAATCGATTTATATTTTTGCATTAAGTGGAGCACACTCTCGACTTCTGCCTCGGTTTTCTCATCACGCGGACGTGCCATGATGTCAATCACATGCTGGGCTTCAGCTGAGCTGCAAGCATTGATAAGATGAATAAGGACGAGGGTTCGTTTGCCTTCACTAATGTCTCCAGCAATCTCTTTTCCGTACCTGCCGACATCGCCAATCAAGTTAAGGACATCGTCCTGAATTTGAAAGGCAATACCGAGTTCTTTACCGAGTTCTACGAGTCCATCTATTTCTGTTTCATTCGCACCACCGATAATTGCCCCAACGCGACACGGTGTGATACAGGTATACCATGCGGTTTTCTGTACGCACATCGTTAAGTAATCCTCTTCATCAAGATCCCAGCGGTTATCGCTAACCCAACTCAACTCAATGTGCTGCCCCTCAACAACTTGGTTGCTGAGTTGTATGAATTCAGATAAAATACGGAAGGCGAGTTGATGTCCGAGAATCTCAGTGTTTCGGTGAAGCATCTCCCACATCTTGCAGTGGAGGGCATCCCCAACGTTGATAGCCATTGGGATCCCGTGCTTTTGATGGAGACACGGTTCGCCTCTGCGGAGTTCGGAACCATCTTCAATATCGTCGTGAATCAGGAGCCAATTCTGGAGGAGTTCAAGTGAGGCAGCAGTGTTAACGGCGCGCTGCGTATCTCCGCCGAACGCCTCGCACATGAGCATACAGAGCGCGGGACGTAATCCCTTCGCGGCGCGGCGCGGGTAGTCTAACATCATCTGGTACAACTGATGGACATCCGGGTGCTTGTGGGTAGTCGGGAGAAAGTCAAAAATACAGGCATCAACTCTACTTTTGACATCGCTGAGATATGTTGTGACAAGATGCTTTGTGAGTGAGGGTTCTTGTCCAGTTTGCTGCATTGCTTTCCTTATGTTTTTCGCCGTCTTTTTATTTACTCAGTCCTCCCATGATTTCGTCGGATCCCTGAGCACAAACATCAAGCTTTATCAAGCGTTGACTCGCAAGTTTCGCTTTTAAATTATAACACATTGCGGGGCGAAAATCAAATTTTTTGCTCAGAGAGAGCAGAGAGACCAGAGGCGTTCAGTTTTAAGAAATTAGGATTTCACGCCTTTTTTTGACGAAGTTAGTGTGGTTCCTGAAATGCCTACGGATTCGCAAATCTGACGATACTTTCACAGTTTTCATAGCAAAGCCCGAGAAATCAATAGGTGTCGTGAAAGGCGATAAACCCGCATCTGTATTGGGTTTCAGGCGGTTTTCATCAAGGGTCGCTATGAAAGTTGCTATGAAAGTTGCTATGAAAGTTCACACCGGTCTATATTCCTCATAAAACTTTCTGGGTGCGGGATGGATAATTGTAGATTTTCCTAATTTTCCTATATAACGTGAGTTCGATAAAAGACTTCTACTTGTACCGCAAACTTTTAGTGTACGCGGAATACACCACAAACTAAATGAAGATTCAGATTTTAATTCGGTAATTTTCTAATGAGGTCCGGTGCGGTTACAAACCGCACCTACCGGGCCTGGGGAAAAATCAAATTACCGAAATATTTATTTAAACTTCATAAAGTTTGTGCTACAATTTATGTCTTTGACACGCGAAAACGGAACCTTTAGACGGACGAAATGTTTAAGTCAAACTGACGTTATATAGTAAAACCCATAATTACTTATACACCAACAGAAGGGCGAGGTTACAAACCTCGCCAGCGAAGGAGAGGTGTTTTGTGTTTTCTAAAGTGGCCATGTATTTTCGGATTTTCCTATAAATGTTCCGAAGGAAGGCTAACTTTCACGGAGGTTTTTACCGGCGTAGGCGTGTCGTGGGTTGCCAAGATGCAATATGATGTCTCTCCGTGAAAAAACGAATGTGAAAATAGAATTAACTTATCGTATCAGTGTTTTTAGAACCGGAGGTGCTTATCTTTTCGGGTGTCCTCGACGATTTTGTCATCTTCAGGATTGTAGTTCCTTTTCGATTTGGCTGTCAGTTTTTCGGAAACGGTTGCGTGAGAATTCTCCTTAAAAATGTTACACCAGTGTAACATTTGGTGTACAGCGATTATCGGGATGGAACCCAGTAACTGTAAGGGTTCAGAGGCATTTTTTTTGACCCACTGCTGCGAAAAAAAATAAATTGGAGGAAAGTGTAACATTACCACAACAACTTTTGAAGTTCGTCTATGCTATAGCATTTGCCATCTCGATAATTCTTAACTGCTTTTTCAGCAAGGTGATCGAGCCGTCCGGTTTTCACGTCCTCTTCAAACTGCTTTTCCCAAGCTTCTTCTTCGGCGACAAGTGCCTCATGAAGTTTCTTTTCAAGAGTTTTCAGCAGTGTTTTTTCTGTAGATTCCTCACACTTGACTTTTGGAACGTCCGGAATCCACCCCAGCCAGTTCGTCCCATTTCTTTGGATATGGGCGGTATAGGTTTCCTCAAAGATCTTGTCATGAATTTCGATAGTCTTTATTTTTTCCATGATCTTCTCCGTGGAGATTTTCTGTAGGTTAACTCCGGTTTTCACCTTTTAGGCTCTACAATTCATCTAAATCGAGTGCGATGAATCGGTATCCAAGGGGTTTTATCCGATCGACTAAAGTTTCTCGCAATTGGAGGGCACGCGTAAATTGTGCCTCCGACACCTGTATCCGCAAAACAGGTGCCTGGTCAAAGAGTAAAACATCTTCAAGCTCGAATTCGCTCAGGATCTGCTTGACCTCTACCAATGTTGCGGGACTTTCGGCTTGCACCGTATCGGGATCTTTTTCCATATTAGGACTGTCGCCTCCAGTCGCTACCCGCCATGAATCCACCATCAACGAACACCATTTGTCCCGTGACAAAATCAGAGGCGTTAGAGGCGAAGAAAATTGTTAAGCCTGCTAAGTCTTCAGGCTCACCCCATCGGTCTGCAGGGGTGCGATTGAGAATCCATCGGTTTCGGTTGTCCTCGCGTGCAGGGGCAGTCATCTCGGTTCGGATGAAGCCGGGCGCAATGCCGTTGACCTGAATGTTGTGTTCCGCCCATTCCACAGCGAGAAGTTTTGTCAATTGGAGGAGTCCTCCTTTTGCCGCCGTATAAGCGATACTCGTCGGCAATCCGATCGCTGAGGTAAGCGACAACGTGTTGATTACTTTACCCGATTTCTGTCGCTGCATGACATTGCCACAGGCTTTTGCGAGAAAAAACGCACCTTTCAGATTAACATCCGTAACGAAGTCCCAATCCGCCTCGGTAAATTCCAAGGCAGGGTTGCGTATATTGACCCCAGCGTTGTTAACGAGGACATCAAGTCTCCCGAAAGTTTCCACAGTCTGCGCGACGAGCGCGTCAATTTCTGTAAGATTGCTGACATCCGCCTGAATAGGGAGGACATTTCTACCGGTCTCAGCGGCAATTTGCTCAGCAACAGGGGTTAATGTCTCTATTTCTCTACCCACAACGACGAGATCTGAACCTGCACCCGCAAGCCCTTCTGCCATTGCGAGCCCAATGCCGCGACTCGCCCCAGTGACGAGGCTCACTTACCATCCAATCGAAATTGTTCAACGATCCCCGTAGCAGATTTCTGATTCATATTTCACTCCAATTCCAAACTGTAATTAATCGGTCAGTTCATCCTGTTCTGTAAATTCAAACAATTGCCCACCGTCAATAGCTTTTATTTTTCCACCATGTTCCTCAGCAAGGGAAATAAGCAACTTTGCACCGGGTGAGCGTTTCAAATCAATCTCAAGAGCAACCACATAGATAATAGCGTTGTTGCGGTTATGCTCACGCACAATATCAAGAATCTTCTGTGTGTTTGTCTCGATGTGTAAAGCACCCTCATCTACCTGTGGTAAGCCATCTGTTATCAAAACAACGACAGTGGGTTCAAACGTTAAAGCGGACTTAATGGCGGAGAGAATGTTAGTGTCCAGATTGCCCTGAATACTTTGCGGTGTGAATCTGTCAAGATACTTCAAGACGCGTTTTATGTTTACGGGGTTCGCCGGGAGCATTTTCTCGCTCATAGGTTTAGCTGTGTCGGAAAACGCTACAATGTTCAGCTTGTCATTGTTCCCTAACATCATTACGGAATCTTTGAGAGAGTCTATTGCGATTGGTAATTTTTTCATTCCGGCTGCCTGCATACTTGCGGTTATATCAAGACAGTAGACGACCTCTTTGGGTCCCCCGAATTCATCGAGGAAATCAATGATGCCGAGTCGATCTGCGATACCGGCACTTCCATCACCACCGAGAAGTCCACCGTCGGAGCCATCTTGCCCACCCCCACGGAATCTCCCCATACCGTCGCCGCGTGCTCGGACCCGACCGGTAACAATACCGCGTCCATCGGTCTGTCCGGGTTGTGCGATAAGTCTACGGAGGTTCGAGGCTTCCGCATCCCGTAATTGGGCATCCGTCATAAGATCTGGGACAACCTCACTCAAAGGTGCTTTGTTGACCTCTACGTCTTTGAGTACAACGCGTGAACTGAGTTTAATGACTTCATCCATCTTATTTCGAGCGGTTTCAATTTTCTTCTCCATTGCGTCTCTGGCGAGATCCTGATTCGGATCATACATCTTTTTGGTCAGCGGTGGTTTGGGTTTCAGTTTCCGTTTTCTGGGCGCATCAGCATCGTTAATCAAGTCAACTGCGAGTGCATCCGCCTGTTCTTGGCTGAATCGATTCATTGGAAGAAACAGGTAGGTAATAACGAACATCATGTGTAGAATCAGCGATAACAAGATGACAGAGCGCGTGCGGTTTCTACGTCGTCGTGCATCCATGCCCCAGCTCAGCAAATGATTTAACATGATCAAGTCCTCCGCGTTTCGTTTCTCTTTTTATTATATGTTTTGAAAGTATAGATTTGCAAGCAACATGTTTTGGGATTTCCGGGTGCTTACGTTTCTGACGCAGTTTGTTTATTTTCAAAAGCCTGGATCCACGTTCTGCCTTCAGGTGTCAGTTCATAATACGTATGATTTCGGTGTTTAATCCATTTCCCCTTGACGATATTCTTGCGATAGTGGATGATACGCCCTTCAACCCGTTTCAAACCCCCGAGATCCCGCAATTTGCGATGTCGCTGGTGCATCTCCTCAAGCGGAATTCTCAAGGCTTCAGCAACAACAATAGAGTAGTCCATTCCCAATTCTTGATGGTGCTTCAGTATAAAGTAATCGGTCTCATCAAGTTCAGCAAACTCAGGTGGAAGGGCAACGGTATCCGTTGGCATCTCAGTTGTCCGAATCTCATCCCACGCGATTGCCAATAGCCGCTCCGGTCGGAAGCCTTGTACTGCGCTACATTTGGCGTGATGGACAGTTATCGTACTGTCTTCCTTGAAATAGCCGGTAATTGCGTCTCCCTTTTGTGGCGTGCAACACTTGGCAATTTTATATATCAGTTCAGCCACCATCTCTCTACCCATCACAAGCCCCTCTATTAGTGTCTCAATTTCGCCCTAATGCCCGGTACCCGATGTCTTTCCGATAATGTGCATCGGCAAACTGAATAGCAGAAACGCCTTGATATGCGCGTTGAATGGCATCATGTAATCCGCCTGCAACAGCAGTGACACCTAATACTCTACCGCCGGCTGTGACGATGTCCTCACCGTCTTGCTCCGTTCCTGCGTGAAAGACCGTAACGCCTTCAATTGCATTCGCATCTTCAAGCCCCGTGATAACTTCCCCTGTTTGATATGGGTCTGGATACCCACCCGAAGCCATAGCGATGCACGCTGCTGCTTCGTTATGCCATTGAACATCAGCATGCTGCTTAAGCGTTCCATCAATACACGCGATTAGCAAAGGCACCAAATCACTTTTGAGGCGAGGTAAGAGGACTTGTGCCTCCGGGTCACCAAAACGGCAGTTGAACTCCACCACCTTTGGGCCTGCGTCTGTAATCATTAATCCCACGTATAACACACCTTTGAAGAGCCTATCGATATCCGCCATGCCATTGACGGTAGGGTAGACAATGCGTTCCATCACATAGTCGTGCAATTCTGGTGTGATAACTGGCGCAGGAGAGTATGCGCCCATCCCGCCGGTGTTCTTACCCGTATCACCATCGTGGGACATCTTGTGGTCCTGCGAACTGACAAAAGGGAGGCAGTAGGTACCATCGGTAAGTACGGTAAAGGAGGCTTCCTCACCGATGAGCTCTTCTTCAATCACGACGCTATCACCGGCATCGCCAAATGCCTTGTCTATCAAAATAGTTGTGACAGCTTGCACTGCCTCTTTGAAGGTACGTCCCGGGATAACTCCCTTTCCTGCTGCGAGTCCGTTTGCCTTAACGAAAACAGGTGTATTTTGATCTTCGATATAGGCCATCGCTTCCTCGGCATCCGTAAATGTGCGGTGTGCCGCTGTCGGTATATCGTTTTTCATCATCAGCTGCTTGGCGAAATCCTTACTTGCTTCAAGGTGCGCTGCTCGCTTATCGGGTCCAAATGCTTTCAATCCACGTTCACGGAACACATCGACAATCCCTTCAGCCAACGGAACTTCAGGTCCGACAACGGTTAGTGCAATACTTTCGGATTCTGCCCAATTTGCAAGGTCAGCAAATCGCTCCGGCATCGGGATAGACGCTGCGATTTGTGAGATGCCGGGATTACCGGGCGCGCAATAGATTTTTTCGACAAGTGGGCTCTGTGCAAGTTTCCAGACGAGCGCGTGTTCGCGTCCACCCTGCCCAACAACCAGAATTTTCATGCTACATATCCCTTTTTGACTGTATTATACCAGAATGTGTTCGGAGAATCAAGGGTGTTAAGTTAGGTTCAAAAATAACTACAGATGTGTTATACTTAATTCATCCATCTCAAACTGTCGGTCATGGAAAAACAATAAATCCGCAATGCGCAACATACAGCCTCGAGAAATAGAAGTTTACGAGACCCCAAGCGGTCAAGCACCGTTCAGCGAATGGTTTGCATCCATTCAAGATACAAGAACACAAACGAGAATTCGAGGACGACTTGATCGGCTTGAAAATGGAAATTACGGCGATTGCCAATCTGTTGGTAGTGGTGTCTTTGAGCTGCGTCTCCATTTTGGTCCAGGCTATCGCATCTACTTTGGTGAAGTGGATAGAACAATCGTCCTTTTACTCTGTGGCGGGGATAAATCAACACAGGCACGGGACATCCAACGCGCAAAAACCTATTGGTTAGAACATAAAGAGGAACAGTAATGAGAAAGTACCGAAAATGGCGAGAGATCGTAATAGAGCAACTTGCCGCCGACTGGGACGCGGCACTAGACTATATTCAATTCGCAATGGAAGAATACCAAGTGGACGGGGACACTGCTGTATTTCTGCTGTCTCTCCGGACCTTTATAGAATCGCAGGGCGGAGTTGCTGAACTTGGAAAAAAAACTGGCATGGAGGCACAAACCCTCTTGGAAGTGCTTACAAGCGATGATGCACCGCGCGTTGATACGCTCAGAATCATCTTCAACGCTCTGGGATGCAAGTTTTCAATTGAACCGTTAGAAAAGACTAAGCACAGCCTTGAACTTGCAGGTGCAGATACCACAAGAGCAAACACGGTGTTGGAACAACGCGCCAAGCAATTGGCAAAATCACACCCATCTTGATTTGGCAGGCGTATACAAACAACATCTGACTGTACAATGGAGGAATTGATAATGGCTGAACAACACCACGAACTCGCTCACGTTTTTGCTGAGGCTTCGCAGCGTGCTAACGATGCACGAGGCGGCGCGCCTCGCACCCTCAATACACCCTACACTTTTCCCGGCTATACCAAAGCGGAATGGACCGAAAAAGCTGCAGCATTACGTCAGCAGATTCGCGTTGCCAACGGCTTAGTTCCGACGCACGCACCGACACCGCTAAATGCCGAGATATTCGGGAAAATCGAGCGTGAAGATTACAGCGTCGAAAAAGTCCATTTTGAACCCTTCCCCGGCTTCTTCACAACAGGAAACCTGTACCGTCCGCTTGGGAAACAAGGACCCTTCCCTGGGATTGTGAGTCCACATGGACACTGGGCGCGCGGGAGGCTTGAAAATATAGAGCGTGGTTCAATCCCCGGTCGCTGTATCAACTTCGCCAAACAGGGTTACGTCATTTTTGCCTACGATATGCTCGGTCACAACGATAGCGGTAAACAGATAGCGCACGGCTATGGCGGTGCGCATGAAGGACTCTGGGGACTCAGTGCGATGGGACTTCAACTCCAGAACAGTATCAGTTCCATCGACTTTTTAGAGAGCCTACCCGATGTAGACAATGAACGCATTGGGTGTACAGGCGCGTCAGGCGGCGGGACACAGGCCTTTATATTGACAGCGGTTGACGAACGCATTAAGGTCTCAGCACCCGTCAATATGATCTCAGCGACAATGCAGGGCGGCTGCATCTGTGAAAATGCTCCAAACCTCCGCTTGGATACAAGCAACATTGAAATCGGTGCGCTGATGGCACCACGTCCACTCCTGCTTGTGTCCGCGACAGGCGACTGGACGGTAAAAACACCGACGGTTGAATACCCAGCCATCCGAAGCATCTATGCGCAGTTCGATGCGGAAGACAAAGTGCATCAGGTTCAAGTAGACGCAGAGCATAATTACAACCAAGAAAGCCGCGAGGCGGTCTACGCATGGTTCGCAAAATGGTTTTTGGGAGCGGAAGACCTCTCGGCATTTAAAGAGGTAGCATTTCAGGTTGAATCAGATGAAGCATTGCTGGTTTTCTCGGAACGCGATCTACCCTCGCATGCTATAAAACAGGACGAGGTTCTACCGGCTTGGGTGAACAGTTCCCAACAAGCGATCGAAAAATTGAAGCCAACGAACGAAGCAGAACTCCAGACCTTTCGCGCAGAAACGGAAAGTGGGTTGCGACACGCACTCGGATTACACATCCCGAAAAGCACGGACGTAACACTTGTTGAACCAGAAGGCGCATTTCCGACAACTTATCATACAAACTTATCCGCGAGACACCTTGTCATCGGTAGAAAGGGTATGGGGGACGCTATCCCTGCTCTTCTCTTTAGCTCAGAACCCCAAGTAGGACACGATCCAGTAACGCTCATTGTTCACCCAGAGGGTAAGGAAAAGTTAATCAATTCGGAAACAGGCGAACCTTCTTCGCTTATCACCGACTTACTCAGTGCTGACCAGAAAGTTCTGATCATTGATGTCTTTGGAACAGGCGAGCATAGCGATTATGAGAGATCGGAAGATACCAACTTTTTTACCACTTATAACCGAACAACAGCAGCGTTACGCGTGCAAGATATTGTAACGGCACTGCACTGCTTCACAAACCGAGGCGATGTCTCAGAGGTGAACCTGATCGGGATAGGTGAAGCGGGATTGTGGAGTTTGCTGGCGGCGGGATTTACGGATGTCAAAAACGTTGTCGTGGATGCGGCACAATACGCTCTCGACAGCGACGCGGCTTTCTTGGAAACTTTACCGATACCGAGCATCCGTCGAGTCGGCGATCTCCGAACAGCCGGAACACTCGTTGCACCCCGACCGCTGATTATTCACAACACCGGTGATACGTTTGATACAGGATGGATTGCTGAGGTTTACGGAAATATCGGGGCAGGTCAGGACTTACTTGTCGAAAAAGATAAGTTGTCTGATGAAGAGATAGTCACACAGGTAATCGGATAGACTTTGCAACATGGGCTTGCAAGCTACGCCATACTTTGCAATATGGGCTTGCAAGCTGCGTACAGATTAAGGGCGGACACAACGGTCCGCCCTTAATCTGTACGCGCGGTTTGTAACCACGCAAAATCACAAAACAGATGCCTCTATGAGAGGTTGTATCCACGTTCGTTGTGTTGCGATAGGTCAAGCCCTTGCCGTTCGTCATCCTCTTCAACGCGTAAGCCGACTGTGGCATCCACAATCTTGAGGATGATAAACGAAAGCCCACCACTCCAAATAATGGTAATAATGATGCTGATCAGCTGCGCCAAGACCTGTTTACCTATTGTCATACCTTCAGCTAACCCATTACCACCTAAGCCCTCAGCGACAAAAATGCCGGTCAGTAAGGCACCGACAATCCCACCAATACCGTGAACACCGAATGCATCCAAGGAATCGTCATATCCGAGTTGCGATTTCAAACTCGTAGTGCCCCAGAAACAGACGGCGCCAGCGACGAGCCCGATAACGAGTGCGCCCATCGGTCCGACAGAACCAGAAGCAGGCGTAATCGCAACTAAGCCAGCAACGGCACCCGTTACAATGCCCAATGCACTCGGTTTACCGTGTTTCCCCCACTCAATAAACATCCATGTAACAGCGGCGGTGGCAGTTGAAATCTGCGTGACAAGCATCGCCATACCAGCGGTACCATCAGCGGCAACAGCACTACCAGCATTGAACCCGAACCAACCGACCCAAAGCATTGATGCGCCGACGACGGTGAGGGTCAAACTGTGTGGAGGCATTGCGGTTGTCTGGTAACCGAGTCGTTTGCCGACCAAGATGGCAGCAACCAATGCCGCGACACCTGCATTAATATGCACAACATTCCCACCTGCGAAATCAAGTGCTCCGATAATATCACCAAAGAATGAACCGTCACCAGACCATGCCATGTGGCAGAGCGGTGCGTACACAATGAGAGACCAGACTGCCGAGAAGATTAACATCGCTGAGAACTTCATCCGCTCCGCGAATGCGCCAGCGATCAAGGCAGGGGTAATAATGGCAAATGTCATTTGGAAAACAACAAAAACGGTTTCGGGGATAGTTCCAGATAGGGTGTCTACCCCGATACCCCGTAGGAACATCGTACCAAGCCCACCGACAAAAGAAGTGAGTGTGATTTTACCCGCCTCCATGCCAGCGGTGTTAAAGGCGAGGCTATAACCACAGATAATCCATAGGATCGTAATCAACCCTGTCAATGCAAAACATTGCATAAGGACAGAGAGTACGTTTTGGACGCGCACGAGTCCACCGTAGAAGAGGGCAAGCCCAGGAATCGTCATAAAGAGAACGAGGGCAGTTGCGGTAAGCATCCAAGCGGTGTCGCCGGAATCAAGGGCTGTAGCGTCTTGTGCCATCGCTAAGCCCGGCACGCCACATATCAATAAAATAACAATTAGCGTTCCAATTCGTGTATAACCAGATCGCTCCTTTGCAGATTGCGATGCACATCGTTGTTGCATCTGTATCCTCCATAATATTTACAAGCAAGGGTCACTTGTTTTGTTGTTCTGTAAGGCAGACCCCTTCGTCTACCGCTTCAATTTTTGTAGGGACAGGTACTTTTGTCCCACCAATCGTTTTCTGAAAACAGAGCCTAATTCCCAAGCAAGTTTCAATATTAACATTCAAGGTTTGAATCCACAATTAGGTTGGAAAGTTGGAAGTTGGGAAGATAGCATATACGGCGTTTCTTGTAGTCTTCCTTCACTTTCACGCTTCTTTGAAACTTAATATTGATTTTCTAAAATTGCTCAGAAGGTATTGATTCCGCATTTTAGCAGAATATCGTAATAGTATCAAGCGTTTTTTAATTTTACCTTGCGGTTAAATAACGGGGGTTGGGAACTTCACGTGCCTTTCTGAGGAGTCGCCCTCCACTACGTTACGGGCTTGGTTTTGAGTATTACGAATTTTAATTTTACCTTGCGGATAAGTGGTAAATAGCAAAAAGGGAACGCCCACAAGCAGTGAAGTAAAACTCAGGGATATAAGTGAAACTTCCTGTGGGCGGTCCCTATTAGATTTATAGCCCGAAGGCTATCTGAATAATACGTCTAACGTATTAACGTATTGAGGAAACATTAAAGTCAGGATAGGCACTTGCGCCGTGTTCTCCGTAGTCCAGTCCTGCCTGCTCTTCCTCTTCAGTGACTCGCAAACCTGTAACAGCCTTGATTCCGTAGAACAGAATAAAGCCAGTAACGAGACACCATGCGAGAAACAGCAAAGACACCGACGATCTGTGCCCAGAGAAGTCCGAATCCTCCACCGAAGAAAACCCCACTTGAACTGTCGAAAAATCCGAGGAGAATCGTCCCTAATGCACCACACGTACCATGAACGGAGATGGCACCGACCGGGTCATCAATCCGAAGTTTTTCAAATAACAGAACACTCAGGACAACTACAACACCACCGAGGGCACCGATGATCGCAGCGGACACCGGACTCACAGTTGCACAACCGGCAGTAATTGCGACTAAGCCAGCCAGCGCACCGTTAAGCGACATACCGGCATCGGGTTTGCCGAGGAGTATCCACGCAGTAACCATAGCCGTGATAGCACCTGCGGCAGCAGCAAGGTTCGTAGTTACGGCAATTTTGGATATGTCAAGTGCATCCGCGCCCATTTGGCTACCGGGGTTAAACCCGAACCAACCGAGCCACAAGATAAAGACACCGAGTGCGGCAAGGGGTAGATTGTGTCCAGCAATCGGTCTCGGTTTCCCTTCACCATCATATTTACCAAGGCGGGGACCCAAGACGATGGCACCCGTCAATGCGAGCCAACCACCCGTTGAGTGGACCACAGTTGAACCCGCAAAATCCGACATACCCAGACTTGATAACCAGCCACCACCCCAAATCCAATGTCCAACAATGGGGTAAATGATACCGGTGATGAAGACGCTGTAAATCAGATAACTTTTGAACTGTGTGCGTTCTGCCATTGCGCCAGAAACGATAGTCGCGGCAGTAGCGGCGAATACCAACTGGAAGATCCACGCGGCATGCGTCGGCACGGAACTCCACTCTAATGAAGCAAACACACCAGAATCAGTTGGAACAAACCATCCGCTTGTTCCCATAAAAGCGTTACCAGCACCAAACATGATGGCAAAGCCGATCGCCCAATAAGCGATGGAACCCAGTGAGAAGTCCATTAGGTTTTTCATGAGAATGTTGACAGCGTTCTTGGCACGTGTGAAGCCAGCTTCCACCATAGCGAACCCTGCCTGCATAAAGAAAACCAGAAATGCAGCGACAAGCACCCACACCGTGTCTGCCATATACTTTGCATCAGAAACCTTCTCACCCTCAACGGATCCGTTCAAGGCGAAAACGTTTAGGCTCAGGAGGCAGGTGAGCACAAAAACTGTTATGATAACCTTCTTCTTCATTTGGAATATCTCCTTTGTGTTAATTCATCCTTAAAACTGTCGTGTTGCGAACGGCGGCGGGCATTTAGATGTTTATGAAACCCACTTGTAATACGCCGCTGGAGGGTAGAGGACATCTATCGCGAACCACAAGGCATCGATGATGACTACGGTTCGCGACAACCGCGACTTGTCCGTCCTTACAGAACACTTCTTCCTTACCAGGTACGAACGAAAGTCATTCTGCCGGTGATCCCTGTTTCATCGTCCCCTTTTTTGGTTTCAAATCCAACAAAGACACCGATCGTATTGTTTTCACCATAGCCGGCATTGACACGGAGGCCTGGGATTAGACTACTGAGACCACCGTCATCGCCTAAACCTAAGGTTACTTCGACCTGCGGACCAACAGAGAGCGTGTCATTGAGTGACAGTAGCACAAAATTACGAGTGTAGATCGCATCGTCTCCGTAATCAAACGGCGAATTGAAGAAACCTTGTATCCAGGATTCAAAATAGATGGAACCAGCAGTGAGATATGTAAACAACTGCGGGGCAATCAGGGAAGAGGGACCATTAGCGGCGGCGTAGTCAAAACCAATACCGACCATGGGAAGGAAACTCAGAGACATTGAATCACTATCAACAACTGGAATACCGAGTCCGATGTCGAACTCACCGAATGTCCCAACGACGTAAATATCGGTATCCAAAGAAAGACCACCGAGAAAACTTGGGGAATGGCTGGCGCCAACCCAGATCTGCGTTCCTAAGCTATCTGTATCGGTACGGAACCACCCAGAAGCACCTGATGACTCTTCTTCAGCCATCTCCATCTCTTCACCCATTTCATGCGAATCTGCATAAACCATGGGGATACTACCAACTGCGAAAATACAAACCATTACTAACAAACGAACCAACCAAAACGTATGCGTTTTCATCAAAAGCTCCTTTATACGCGTTTTAAAGCGCGCCTACAAGGTTATATTAAAATTTGAGCAACGTACTCTCACGGTGCGATAGTGCCAGTCTGCGGCTTTCATGGAGAAAGAGACCGCTTGACTTCAGCATAAATTTGTGATATAGTGGTTTTGCCTGTCTTTTTCGACACTTTTTCAACAAAAGGGAGCAGGCTTCACCAGTGCTGACTCTGCACCTGTTTCCATTTTAAGCAAAAAGTGTGCCAATTGACCTTTTGCACTTGCAGTTGTCGAAGTAGAGAAATATTCCGTTTGCACCTATAAAGCCAAACTGTCAGTCGTCAAGACTAGGGATTCGTAAGTTATAGATAAACACAAGCATGCAACTGAACAGATACATAGATACACCGAATAGATATCACTGGAAACAGATTCAAACTCTATTGAAAACCGATAACCTAAGGTCACTGTGCAAGAAGCATAACTTAAACAAAAAATGCTGAAATTTTCAACAAAACATTGCCCAAAAAAGATGCAAATGGTGTTTTTGAGCGTTGTTGTGCTGTTCGGGGCAGCATTCCGATTTTGGAACTTGGGGCAATGGAGTTTTTGGATTGACGAGGTCTTCACTGTCCGGGATGCCCAAAACCTCTCATTCGACAGTTGGCAAGTTATCCCAAACCCGATTCCCTATCTCGCAGTGAAACTATCAATCTTGCTGGGTGGCAGTAGCGAATGGGGGAGCCGATTAATCCCGTGCATAGTCGGAATCGTCTCTATTCCCGCGGTTTTTGGGTTAGGACGAACACTCTTCAATTGGAGGATCGGACTCCTTGGTGGCGCATTTGTGGCATGTTCAAGTTGGCACCTGTTTTGGGCACAAAATGCGCGTTATCCCGTCTTTACCTTTTTCTTTGCTGTCCTGACGGCGTGGTTTTTCTACACATCTCTCGAACGCAACGCAACGCTTTTGATGATCGGTGCGCTCGCCTCCTGTTTCTGTTTAATCCTTTCACATACCCTCTCCGTTGTGATGGTTCCAGCGTTAGCGGCGTATGCCGTGATCTGTCTATTAGAAAAATCCGATAGAAAGCGGTGGTTGAATCTACTCATCTTCTTCATCCCGTTCGCGATACCGGTGCTGGCACTCGCACTGCCACAAGTTCGAGGCTACCTCTTCTCCGGGTGGGGACGCAACGAATGGCAACGGAGTCCACTTTATATCGTGCTAACGCTCGTCCAAGGCGTGAGTATTCCAGTCGCCGTTGCGGCTTTTTTTGCTACCGTCGCGACACGATTCAATAGATCCACGCTTTTCTTACTCTGTTATGCGGGTGTACCGTTGATTCTTTTTCTGATTGCATCACAACTCCAAAACGTCGCGGGTTATTACCTATTTTGGACAACACCCGCCTACTTTATTCTCGCGGGAGTTGCGTGCGAACGGATCTGGAAAGCAACAGAGACCAAATCAGAACACACGCTCGGCATACTTGTGCCGTGCGTACTTCTCGTGACACTCCTGTCCCAAGACTATCTCTATTTTAAAATCGAAAACGGAGGGAGACCGAAATGGCGGGAGGCATTTGAAGTCGTACAAGCAGAAAAGAAACCCACCGACACAGTGGTACTTTCAGAACCTGAGATGGGTAGGTATTATCTTCCAGAACTGACACCCATCTACATCGGAGGGCTATTAGACGATTCGGAAGCGTTTGAAAGAGAGTGGAGAACTTCGGGGAGAAAACGGTTATGGTTTCTTGTAGACGTGGCGAGTTTTAATGTCTTTGATGCGGACGTGGCAGTTCGCAACTGGATCCGGCAACGGGGACGTATGGTCAAAACATTGCCTGCCTTCTCACGCGCAAAAGACAGGACAATTCACGTTTATCTGTTAGAATAACGCAAGTTGCCACCTATTTATAGACATAGCACCCCTACGGGGTGCAGTTGCTTGAATACGCCAGTTTCTATAGACATAGCACCCCTACGGGGTGGGGAAAGTACCCAGGGCTATTCAGTTTTCGGTTCCGATCTTGGTTTTCGTCACAGATGTTAAGGGTTTCGCGCATATCGCGAGCACAGTCGCTCCTACGCGGAAAAACGTTCACGCATATAAAGTAAATATGTAAAACTAAATGACCCTGGGAAAGTACCTGAGCCCCCTTGTTGAAACGTCCAAAATGTGTTAGTAGCAACTTGGGTTAGCGTAGAACAAAGAGACACAAACACCTTTTTATAGTAAAGTCCACAATTACTTGGACATCACGGATGGGCGAGGTTACAAACCTCGCCAGCGGTGGAGTGAGGTTGGTGCCTCCTGAGATGTCTACATATTTTCCGGCTTTACTATAACAGAAAAAGGCGCGTTTCCCATCTGCTTGAAACGCGCCCACATGTCTATCTGGTAAGATGATCTCTCGATTGCAACGCTTTGGCATGTGAAGGAAAAAAGCGCGCTACCAGGTACGCGTAAAATTCATTCTACCCGTCAGACCCGTTTCACCTTCCTCTTTTTTGGTTTCATATCCGACATACAAACCGAGGGTGTTATTCTCACCATAACCGATGTTCAAACGTCCACCGAAATTGAGAGCCCACAGTCCGCCACCGTCGCCGAGACCCAGCACAGCTTCAGCCTGCGGGCCAACGGCGACAGTTTCGTTAAGGGCATAGGTAAGGTAATTACGGGTGTAGAGTTCGTTTAAGCTTTCGCTATCAAATATGGACCTGACCGTACCGATTGTCCAATGGAAACCATAGATTTTACCGGCGGGTAAAAAAGCAAATATTTGCGGAAATAGAGAATCTGGACCGTTTGCCGTGGTATAATCAAACCCAACACCGAGCATCGGAAGCAGAATAAGCGTCAAGTTGTCCCCTTTCACGACAGGGAATGAAACGCCCACGTCAAACTCACCGAAATGATCGTTAACATAGATGTTGGAATCAAACGAAACGCCGCCGATCGGATGGGTGGCACCAATCAAAAAATAGGTGCCTAAACTATCAACATCAACCTGGAACCAGCCTGTAATATTCGGCTTTTCTTCCATCGGTTTTTCTTCTGCCTTTTCATCTTCCATTTCATGACTGTCGGCGAAGGCAGTAGAGAAGCTACCAATAGCTATCAGACATACGAGTGCTACGACAGCAGCTAACCGAAGAACAGTGTTAGAAGTCTGCACACAGCAGACGAAACGATCGTTCATAGAAATCTCCTTTAGCCGATAGGGCAGGAACACAAGCACCTTGCCCTATAATTTATCCTTACTATTATCGGAATTACCCAAATGTTTCTTTAAACCTCATCCAAACCTGTCTCAAGAGAACCTAAAGACACTACTCCTTTTTCAGTTCTCCCCATGTCGTGGTTAGCAACTCCGGCTGCGGTGAAACCGGCAACGCATACGCCGGATCAAACCAGTCCCCGCCGGCATTCGCTTGAAAATACCTCCAATATGCGTCAACTGTGTCCGAACGCCGCTGTTTATATCGAGTTTGAAAATCTGTAGAGAACCCTTAATTTTTTGTGTATAAAGGATTTCTTTGCCATTCGGTGATAACTCAGGATACTCTGCCATCGGACCCGCCTCATCAACAAGTTGTTGGAGACCGGTACCATCGCGATTGGCGATATAGATTGTATGTTTATCAGTCCATCCCTCTGGTAGCTCGTCTCCCGGCTTGAAATCTGGCGGCAATCGATTGTTATTCCAAGAGAAGGTGAGTTTGTCCGCCATAGCAGACCAAGATGGCATCGCTTGACCCCCCAATTCTTTTCTCGGCAGGATCCGTTTTTGCGCACTTGTGCGAACATTGATGAGTGTCATTCGGCCATCTTCAAGGGGAGTATAAGCTATTTCCGCACCGTCGGGCGACCACGCTGGATGCAAACCATTCGCTACGAAATTCTCTTCTTGTTCTTCTAAGTTCGTAATGTGGATGGCGTATATATCTTTATCCCAGTTGATGCGCATGTAAGCGAACTGTTTACCATCCGGCGACCATGTCGGATAATCCCGAAGAGTGAAGTTTCTCTTCCGTTCTTTCTCGAAATGGCGTCGGATATTGGATCCGTCAGGGTTCATCAGATACAGGTCTCGCTTACCATCGCGATCGGAGATGAACAGAACCTGATCACCTGTTGGAGACCAAACGGCGTTCAGATCGTTTGCGGGATGGTCTGTAAGTCTTACCTGTTCAGAGCCATCCGGGTTCATGATATAGACTTCACGGTTACCATCACGTGCGGAAGTGAATAGGATTTTCGGAGTCGTCGGGGCTTCGGCAAAAAGTCGACCTACTGCCCCACACATCAGCATCAAGAGGATGATACAAAAAATCAACAGCACTCTCATACCTGTCTCTCCTATGGTCATCTTTCAGATCTGCGATATGCGTGATATACCGCGCCAGATTCCTCTACATCTTTCAATCGAACTCACGTTTAATTAGCTTGGTCGATCTGTTCCATAAGTCGTTCCAGTTTAAGCGGGTCTTTGACACCTTTAGATGCTTCAACGCCGGAACAAAGATCAATGCCGTGAGGTCGGATTGTCTCAATAGCGGCTTTGACGTTTTCTGGACGAATCCCACCTGCGAAGAAAACCGGCAGTGGACTCCCCGCAATGAGTTCAGCAGCGACATTCCAATCACAGGTTTTTCCCGTACCACCGTATCTCGGTTTCTCAAGACTCATATCAACGCTATCAAACAGTAGGAAATCCGCACCGGCATCCCGATACGCTTGCATTTCCTCCCGAACAGCCGGTATATCCACATTCTTGGGACTGCCCGCTGGCAAATAGACTCGACTTCCAGAATTCACATGCGCCCGTGCGTGTGAGTTTCTCAACCTGTTGTGGCGACTCCTGTCCAAGGAGTTGAACGGCAAACGGCTGAACCTGTGAGACTATTTCTTGGATGTCGGACGTTGAGCGGTTATATAGTAGAATTACGGTAGGAATAGGACTCTCGCTCGCAATTTCGGCGGCTTGAGCAGCGGTGCGTGTTCGTTCGGATATGGCAACATCAACCAACACACCGACGTAATCCGCGCCCGCATCAGCGGCAAGTCGAGCATCATGAATGGAGGTGATGCCGCAGATTTTAACACTGCAGTGGGGTTCTTTAGACATTTTTTAATTATCCCTTGCGGTTTTTTAATTATTCCTTGCGGTTCAATGACATGGTTTGAAATGTGGCGATTTTCTCCCTGGAGTCGCCCTCCATTTCATTACGGGCTTGGTTTTCTCTTAGATTGGGTTTCCCGTGAGTGCCCAAACTTTTAGTTTGCGCTACGAAACCTTCGCGAATAATCAACCCGCTCGAATGAAAAACGATGTTCGCATGCCAAAATCTTGTAAGTAGCAACTTGGGTTATCTTACTCTTCAAAGACGGTTTGCCGATCAGCATCCGAATAACAGATAATCATCGTTACGGGTTGCCAACCGGTATTGACAGCATTGTGTTTGACATTACGCGGAATACGCAACATCATCCCCGGTCTGAGCGGGATGACTTCATCTCCCAACTTGTGGTCGCACTCACCAGAGAGGACATAGATAAGCTCCTCGCAGTTCGGGTGATAGTGTGTGGGGTTGCCTTCACCGGCGTTAATGTAAACAATACCGAATGTCATCTCAGCATCGGGATCAATCTGATCGTTGCAGAGCCATTTAATCGCGCCCCATGGAAATTCAAGTGCACCGGCATCGTTGCTGTTTGTTAAAGTTATCTTCATAACGGTTTCCTTTCTATTTTCCGAACGTGAGTTCGATAAAAGGCTTCTACCTGTACCGCAAAGTGTTAGTTTGCGCGGAATATGACACAAACTAAATGAGGATTCAGATTTTAATTCGGTAATTTTCTAATGAGGTCCGGTGCGGTTACAAACCGCACCTACCGGGCCTGGGAAAAATCAAATCACCGAAATATTTATTTAAACTTCATAAAGTTTGTGCTACAATTTATGTCTTTGACACGCAAAAACGGAACCTTTAGACGGACAAAATGCTTAAGTCGAACTGACGTTATCTTCCGAATACAATTATACCTCGAAGCACGTCAAACATTGTGCGGCGTAAGTCTGCAATCCCACCGTAGGTTCTTCCTGAAGATAACCGACAGGAGCAGAGATAGCCCGTCACACTGTGAACTTGGATATCAAGTGCCTGATGCGTATGTCCGAAGAGGGCATGCGTTACAAGCGGCTCTCGCAAGCATTGTGCGCCAAGACCTTTGCTGCCCATGAACGCGCGAAAGAAGTCCCACGGCAACTTGCCCCGGTACCGAACACACTCTCGAAACGGCACATGGTGTGTGACCACAATGATACGTGATACATCGTCCCGAATAGAGGCAATCTGCGTCTCAAGAGCTGCTTCAAAGCGTCGGGCAACAACAGGATCGGTATCCTCCATTTGGCGTATCGCTTATCGTTCCAGATCGCACCCATCAACTCCTTTTCGGCATATTGAGCGTCGGAAAAATCGTACCCGTCCGGGGCTAAACTATAATCGTACCAACCGATAGTCCCACAGAAACCGACTTTTTCCCGGATAAAGGGTTCGTCCATCAACGGATGAAATCCGCAGGCATGACAAAGTTCCGAAATTATCCCGCATTTCTGTTGACTTGTAACGGTAGAAGTCTCAATAGCCCAAATATCGTGGTTACCGGGAACGAACAATATTTCACATGCCAAATCCGCAAGATGAAAAGCATTCAGCGTTTCGGAAAGTTGAACTAAATGTCGTGCGAAATCTCCTGCGAGCACTAAAACATCAAGGTTTGCGGCACTGACGGCATCAATGAGATGTGGAACAAGTGCCTTGTTCCAAGGCGTAACGTCCGTGTGCAAGTCTGAAATGAGTCCAATCTTCATTAGCAGCCCACAATCCGTTGAGCGAGCGTTCCGCTGAATTACATCGATTCCTTTTCCAAACTCCTGAACACCTCATCCAGAAAGATACGCACGCCACTGTCATCGTCCTGCTGGTACTGTTGAAGCTGGCGTTCTAACGCTCGGACTGAAGGCACATCGCCGATTTTGGCAATCGCGTCGACAAGTGTGAGTTGAATCGCGGATTCAGTGCTGCTTTCCAAGGCATTAATCAATTGATCCCGCGCCTTAGATCCACCAATGACCCCGAGAGCAGAAGCAGCAATATCCTTCGTGCTGGTGTCCCCCTTTTCAAACGCAGTAATGAGGGCATCAACAGCGGGTTCACCAATCTGACTGAGTGCTAACCCAGCTTGGAAGCGGATGCCGGGAATTTCTGAGAGGTTTTCAAGAACAGCAATGAGGGCATCAATCGCAGAAGCTGGTTTGAGAATTCCGAGTATAGCAAGGCAGGCGCGTCGAATTTCCTGCTCCGGTTCCACTTCAATTTGGATGTATGCCTGCGCAAGTTCAGCGATTTGTCCTTCGTTAATTCTTTGATAAAGTGCTTCGGATCTGTGTCTGAATTGTGTCCCGAAGGGAGCCTTAAGGGTAGCGGTATTCTCGCTCCTATCCACAGTGAGTAAACCAAGAATCGCAGCAGACTCTAACGGCTGTACCTGAAGACTATCAACTGGAAGTTGGTTCACATCCGCACTTTGAAACTCCTGAAACAGGTCATTTAGGACACTCAATTCAACGAGGCGTTGAAGACTATTAATGGATCCTTTCCGGAGCGAGAACTCTGTGCTATTTTTGAAGAGATCCACGAGTGGCTCAACCGCACGGATATCGCCTAAATCTCCAAGTGCGTCCACAGCGGCAATTTTCACGCCTATTAATTCAGTGGTTCGGAACGCAAACTGCTTTTCAGAAAGTTTTCCGAGCGTCTTCTTGTAATCATTAAGGCTATAAATTTTGCGCTCATCGACAATTTTCTCAACGATGTCCCCTACCTGAATATCGGTATTCGCCGCGGGGGTACCGGGTTGAATCTGCTTGACACGCACAGTGCCACTGCCTTCAACGCTGAGTCCTACCTTATCCCCCTGTTTGCGGACCGCGATACGCAGTGGCGGCTTATCTTTTAAATGAAGAATGAAGTTATTATCCTCATCCAGTGCCTGTTTTATAGCACTGTTAAAGTCTCCAATATCTCGGACAGAGTATTCTGCAATGACATAAGAGATGAGTTCACCAGCCTCAAGTTGCGCTCTATCTGCGGGTCCGTTCGGTGTTGTATTCAAAACAACGACACCACTGGTCGACCAACGGTCTTTCAGGTCGCTGTCTAACTGCTGCACCTGCATTTTTAGGCGTTCATCGTAATACTGATTATCACATCCAAGTCCCAGCATCAATACAAAAAGGAGTGACACGATAAATGCCAAGTGGCGAGGTTTGTTAAACCGTCTTATTTTTTTTAGCATTTTTTAATTATTCCTTGCGGTTAAATGACGTGGATTGGAACTTTGACAATCCTTTCTCAAACCCGCTCTCCCAGCGCAAGCCTATAGAGGCTTGCGGTACAATGTTACGAGCTACGCATGTAGCATTATGCAGATTGCGCATTTTGGATCCGACTCATCTATAGATACCTTTCTATGTTATAGCAAATTTCGGATTGCAAGTTGCGCCGAAGGGTACGAGAACGGTTCACAGTTCAATTAAGAGGAATGACGACATCCCGGGTGCTCTGTTCTTTCAAAGCCTCTAAGAAAGGTTCCACAACTTTTTCGTCACCGAGGAGCGCCAACGCTCGAATCGCATCAACGCGAAGCGATGACCCCTTATTCTGCACAATCTTGACTAACTCCGGCACAGCAACACCCCCGATCTTCCCGAGTGCTTCTACAGCAAGTTGTCGGACCTCAGGTTCTTCTCGATCCCGCTTCCATCTCGCAGAACCGGATTCAATCAGGGCAGCAAGTGCTGGAATAGCCTGTTCACTTCCAACCACTCCGAGTGCCTTGACGGCATTCAAGCGAGTTTCCGTTCTTCGATGATCCAGAAGTTTTACCAAAATAGGAACAATCGTCCCCGGATCCTCCCTACCGATATGGCCAAGTATCCAATGTGCATTATGCCTATCGCGATTGTCACTGGACTTAATCGCCTTTTGGAGTTGGCTGAGGAGCCGCTTTCTGTCGCCTTGCTTATAGACCCGTTTTAGCGCATCAAGTGCAGCGTTTTGGACAACCAAGTCGTCATCGCGGAGTGTCTCAAAAACAAGTCTTTCGAGGTACTTCCGCTGCTCGGCTTGATACGCGAGGAACATCTGTTTGCCGCGACTCAGTGATCGACGCTTCCCTGCCAATCAGTGGTGTTCGGCTCGTAAAATTCCTGCGAGTTGTATAATCCGAGCAGATAGTGTGCCTCAGCATTATCAATCTGTTGTTGGAGCGCAAGTTTAAATTCTCGGACAGCGCGTTCCTCTTTGCGGCGTTTATCCGATTTAATCAGTTCTTTACCCTTCGCGAGGTTCTCGTTCTGGGTGCCGCACCCAATTACAAAGAGTGTAAGCGTAAGGGCAAGCCAGATTTTTTTCATAATCTATTCCTCCTACGCCACTGTCGGTCAGTGCCGCCTCTATCTTCAGAGCGATTCAATATGCCAGACGGTTTTCTGAATTTATACCGCGGCAAATTATGGTGATAGGGAGTGAGCCGTTTCGTAGACGCATCGCTAACACAGCTCACTCCAATACATAATTGAACGAAACAGGACTCACACCATTAGGCATTAAGCAGTTCCTGCTGTTCGCCGCTGGTCTCAGCGGTTTGATCTTCGTGTGCGTCCGTATCTTCTACTTCTTCTACTTCTTCTGCTTCTTCTGCTTCAAGCGTTTTCTGCAGGATAACAAGCGGCTTTTCAACGAACCCCCAATCCTTATATCTCTGGATGACATTCGTCTCAGAGGACGGAAGCTCAATTTCAAGGATTTTCGCGCCATTTTCTTCCGCGGTAGTTCCCGCAGCTTCTATGAGATGGTCTGCCACCTTTAATTGCCGAAACGGTCCAGATACAGCGAGATCCCCGATTTGGGCTACCTCAGGATCGCTGGTAGCCATGCTCACGGTAATCTGTCCGATCGGGTATCCACTCGACTCCGCAACGAGTCGATGGGTCTGACCGTCTGATTCCAAATCGGCTTGCAATTCGTTCGTAACCTGCGTTTTGGTTTTTTCAGGAAAACAAAATGTGTGTAAATGTGCCGCATCGCCTTCTTCAGCCGGGCGTACTTTGAGTGCACCAGTTAAGCCAAAGTCTTGATTTGCCATATTATGCTCCTTTCGTTTTTAACAAGGTGCTGGCATCTTGGCGCACTGTGCGGCAGTACATCTCGATATCCAGCATCTATACACATCTATAGTAAAATCTATAATTACCTATACACATTAGCGTTTGGCGAGGTTCGGAAACCTCGCCAGCGAAGGTGGGGTGTTTTGTTTCCCAAAATGTCAACATATTTTCCGATTTTACTATATTATGCCATTGTAATACATTCTATTTCACATTACAAGCACTTTCCAAAGCGTTGCGATTTGAAAGCGAAACGCGCTAAGAAAGCGATGTTTCATCTTCTACTTCAGCAGCATCGGAGCTTTCAAGGGCAATGGGCGGCACCTGTTCGGAAACCTCAGCTTTCGTTTCATCAAGATTCTCCTGCCCAATTCGCAATTGCCGTTCCGCATCCACAACATCTCTGTTAATCTTGCCAATACATCGGCTGAGTTTATCAGCGAGGGCAGTGTGACCACTCATAACACGACGGATTTGGCGGAGTTGGTCGATGACAAGTCGAAAGGTTCTCACAAAGTCGCCAGCATCTAAACGTGCATATTCCTCAAGCTTGTCAAAGTCACAGCCTCGACTCCAAGCGAGCGTCGCAGTACAGAGTCGGAGTTCTAACAGAGGCGTGATTTCTGTCACCTTATGCTTGACCTCTAAATGCTGAATGAATGAAATTTCAGAACTGACTGCATAAAGTTCATCTAACAAACGTTCGTCTTTGAGCGGCTTAAAGTATCCATCTTTACGGGGTTCAGAAATAATCGCCACCATCAAACAGTTAATTGCGTCCTCCGTGAGCCTTTCAAAAAAACCGCTAAATAGTAATTGGGTTAATTGCACCTCATATCCATAAAGATGGGCAGCGGTGCTCCCACGGGGTAGAAGGGTCCGGGCTTCAATGTATCCGAGTTCTTCAAGCACCTTCAAACGGGCGGCTATCTGCCGCTGCGGATCATTCTCAACAGATGTCGTCTTCTTCTTGAGTTTCTGGAGCTGTTCCTCTTCCTTGCGAATGGTTTTATATCTCCCCGTACATGTGTTCAAATGCTGACATTCGTCACAAAGACTCTGCTCACCACTCGCTTGAAAACCCTTAATTTTCTTGTGAACAGCCCCTAACCTCTTCACGCGTTCCTTTTCCCGCTTCTTTCCTCGCGTCTCCGATTTGATTTGCGCCATCTCTACATGTAAACGCTGAAGATTTTTTTCACGATCTCGCTTCTGGCGATAATGCTTCTCAATCTGCGCACTCCCATCAATACCATCGTGAATACACTCCGGTTTAGGGAGTGTCTGAAGTCTCTCCGTCTTAGACGTAATCTGCTTGTTGAGGTTAGCGACCCGCACCCGGTTTTGATGGTTACTCAAACTCATCGTGTAGACATCGTAAATATCATCGCCATATTTCTGATAAAGATTGAGAATACTGGAATAGGAAAGATTGAATTGACTCTCTATCGGTTCGATCTTATCAGAAACAACACCTCGAATCTCGTTTGAATCGGCGTATGAGGGAATAATTTGCGCATAGACATAACCGATAGTGTCAATACCGCGTCTGCCAGCGCGCCCTGACATCTGGTGATATTCCGCTGTCTTGAGGTGTCGAAATCCGATTCCATCAAATTTCTCAAGGCTGTCAAAAACCACCGAGCACGCTGGCATATTAATACCAACGGCGAACGTTTCGGTGGTAAAGAGGAGTTGAATTAACCCGGAGGTAAACAACCTTTCAACGACCTCTTTAAGCGTTGGCAGCATACCGGCGTGATGATAGGCGATGCCACAACTGACTAACCTGCGAAACTCGGCAATCTTCTTTTCTTCAACGATGTCAAATTGGAGGCAGATTTCATCAAATTGCTTTAAAATCTCTGTCGTCTGTCCTTCATCAAGCAACTGTAACTGCGATCCGAACACCAATGACATTGCGTTTTCTTCACAACCCCTACGACTAAAGCAGAAATAGAGGCAGGGAAGCTGCTTCTCTCGACGAAGGTGTGGGATAAGACTTGTCTCTGTAAAACCAGAAGGAAGTGCCCGAGGCGTTTTATCATCAGATGGGTCAGATTTTCGTTTCCGCCCATCGTGCTGTGCCCGATTCCGAAGAGCGGAAATATGCTCTACACCACCGATGCCGTAATCTTTAAAATAGAGGTAATGTTCCAAGGGAACTGGACGATTTAATTCTTCGACTATCTCGATGTCAATATCCCGCACACTTTGCATCCACTCTGTAAAAGGATTAATGTTCGGGATCGTGGCACTCAGACAGACAAATTTAATATGTTGAGGGGCGAAGATGAGACTCTCTTCCCAGACGGTGCCGCGCTCAATATCATTAATATAATGGATTTCGTCGAAGATGACGTAAGAGACATCTTGTAACCGTTCAGTATCGTCAAAGATAGTATTGCGAAAGATCTCGGTAGTCATCAACAGCACTTGCGCATACGGATTGAGTACCACATCGCCTGTAACAATGCCAATTTTCTCCCCATATTCGGCGTAAAAGTCCCGATATTTTTGATTACTGAGGGCTTTGATCGGTGCGGTGTAGATAACGCGCTGGTTCTCTTTAAGACATTTTTCGACGGCATATTCAGCAATGACAGTTTTACCAGCCCCTGTGGGGGCAGTGACAATCACTGAGGTATCCCGATTAATCGCCGCGATTGCTTTCTCCTGAAACCGATCCAGTTGTAACCCTTTGTACAGCATCCAACCCTCCCTTGCGTAATGTTAAAAGATAATTGTAATGGATACGTTATTTTTTGTCAAGCGAAATTTTTCTCAGGTGAGAAGTATTCAACGCTGCCATAGAAGCAATCTCCAAGCCGTGCCACGTTCTTTTGCAGGAGTAAATCTCGATCGTGATCACCTCTGACGACTGATGAATTATAATCGAGAACGAAACCGCCCTATGCCTCTGATAGAGCCATTCAGTATGTCGGGAATCGGAGTTCCCTCCTACAAGCCGGGTCAGCCGTCAGCCGTCAGCCGTCAGCAAGAGTCGGGAATCGGAGTTCCCTCCTACAGAAGAACTGAATGCTTCTGATGCCTCTGCCGTTTCTCCTTGACATCCCTCATTTTACATGGTATTATGATATAAAGAGCGTTAATACTGGGTTCCATATCGAAGTTAGAGGTGAAAACTTATGCAAAACGCTAAACGGAGACGAAACCAAGACTCACATATCCATGGAAAGCATATTTTGGCGATTCTGATAGGTGTCGCGCTTTGCGGGGTCATCGCATGGGCACAAAAGAGCGGCGATGAAAACAAGAAAGGGATCACCTTGGTAGATCTCGGCGTTACAGAGGCACAGAAAATCCGACTTGAAGGATTGTGGGATCTGAAACGTCAAAAGGACATTCAGGCAATCAATGACTTGAAAACTTTAAATCGACTTGCAAAGGATTCGCTTGTAGAAGATACGGAAATCCAAGAAACCTTGGACGAATTCCGAGCGAAACGGAAAGAAACGCGGGGACAGATTGAAGAGATCGAGGAAGAGTTGATTGAGACATTGCCGACGCAAGCTCAACTCCATTTAACGCTTATGGGCGTGTTGGATAACGGTATCCCACGCAGAACAAAAAAGGCACAAGCCAACAAAAACACAGGCGAAACGCCTAAACCGCCTCCAGAACAGCAGACACAATAAAAAAGGTGGAGGATACCAGACTTGAACTGGTGACCTCTTGCATGCCATGCAAGCGCTCTCCCAACTGAGCTAATCCCCCACGCAAAGACTGTTTTAATTATATCACATATTCTCAGGGAATGCAAAAAAAATTACCTTTTTTCGGAAAAATGACAAAAAAACCGCAAACAGACCCATTTTTTTCCTTCGCGAACCTTGATAATAACGAAGCTCAACTCGCAATAGGTGCCCTGCTTATCGCGCAAAGCGAGTACCGCGAACTCAATATTGAGAATTACCTCCATCAACTTGATGAGATGGCGGATGTGGTTCGGGAACGGATCCAAGAGACGACATTACCTGAGCAACACATTGCTGAACTGAACCGCTATCTCTTTGAAGAAAAAGGGTTCACGGGAAATACCGACAACTACTACGCATTGGGCAACAACTTCCTCAACTTTGTACTGGATAAAAAGACAGGGATTCCAATTACACTCGGCGTTGTCTACATTGAAGTCGGCAGACGCGCTGGATTACCACTCGTTGGCGTAAATTTTCCAGGGCATTTCCTTGTAAGATACCAACGTGAACATATAGACATTCTGCTTGATGTGTTTGAAAACGGATCTTTTATGTGCGAAGACTCACTCGAGGCGAAACTCCAAGAAACCCTCGGGGACTCGGCATCGCTGGAATCGAATATGTTAACTGAAGCCACAGATAAAGAGATCCTCGCACGCATTTTGCGGAATCTGACGCGTGCCTACACACTCCTTGAGAACTACGACAAAGCACTTACAGCGGCTGAACGCATCACATGGTTACTGCCGAACGCCGCCGCCGATTATCGCCTGCTCGGTTACCTACACTATAAAAATTATGCGTATAGCGAAGGGATTTCTGCTTTCGAGACATATCTCCAACTTGCAGACGCACCGCCCGACACCACGGCGGTCGAGCGAAACATACAACACCTCCAAAAACTACTCTCGCGCCTGAATTAAGCTCACGCCCACACACGCATTATCACCTAAACAAAAAACATGACATTTTTTCACAGACGTGATATACTGCGTCCGAACGTCCTGTTAGTGGATGCGCGCGGTGAGGCGGATTTCCGCTCTCAAGTCCGTGACGGTCCGCATAACGGTTAGTGGCAAACACCACACTTGAATTTCAGCGATTTCTGGAAGAATCTCAACCCGTATTAACAATGGAGGAGATAATCATGAAGTACCTGGAACGCTATTGCACTTGGGTATGTGCTGTCCTGCTTCTGCTCAATTTATCATTGCCAGCACTGGGACAGGGAGAAAAGGCAGAAACCCTTGTTGGACACTGGACCTTTGAGAAAGGTGTCGAACTCGAAGATATTACGGGCAACTTTGCCGACATTAAGCTCATGGGTGCTACAATCGAGGACGGTCAATTGAATGTTGACCTTGGCAAGTGGGCAATCGCCAGCGGATATGATGGACCGGATATCGGAGAAAAGACGTTGGTGTCATGGGCTATCATGGATGATCTTGATGTCCAGAAAGGCTCGATATTAACCATCGACCGTCTCTCCGATCCCACATTCGACGCGATCGTCTTTGGGGAACGCCAGCATCATCGTTGGATGGCAGGTAGCGGCTGGTTTCACCGCACCCAAGACCCGGAACCTGGGATTCGAGGAAAAGAAAACGGGAGAGCTTATTGTGATGGCGATCTCGTACGCAGACGATGGCGGCACGGCGCGTGTGAGGATATATCGCAACGGGGACGAAATTGGCGATTATACATTTGGCCAATTCGAGCCTTTTGATAATAACGATGCCGAGGCAATTTGGGGGAAACGGCACGGGGGTTTAGCCGGTGGTCCCGGCGATCTCGATGCCCATATCGAGGATTCACGAATCTACGCCTCCGTTCTCAGTCAGGCAGAGATCAAAAAATTACTGCCAGACACGCTTGATGTGGAAGCGCAAGGTAAGCTCGCGACGACATGGGCACGGCTGAAAACGGAGTAGCATTTGGATACGAGTCATTGTGTGAGATGTCCCGGAGGGTCTTAAAACCCTTTGGGACTTCCATGAAAAAACCAGAAATTATAGTAAAGTCCACAATTACTTGGACATCACGGATGGGCGAGGATACAATCCTCGCCAGCGGTGGAGTGAGGTTGGTGCCTCCTGAGATGTCTACATATTTTCGGGCTTTACTATAATTACGGCAGTCAGGAAAATTAGAATCGAAGCATGAAAATTTTAGGCATTGACACCGCAACCCCTATTGGGAGCGTTGCCCTAATAGATGGCGATAATTTAGTCGCGGAGCATACGCTCAATATTGTCCAAGCGCACTCCTCCAGACTAATGCCTGCAATTGATAGCGTTTTGAAATGGGGTAACATCACGGTAGATGCTCTGGATGGATGTGCCGTTGGCATTGGACCCGGATCTTTCACCGGTATCCGTATCGGTGTCGCGACGATCAAATCCCTCTGCTATGCCCTCGACAAACCGATTGTGGGTGTCTCGACCTTGGAGGCGATTGCCTATAACCTCCAATCGACAAACGGCGTTATCTGTCCACTTCTCGATGCCCGACGGAGTGAAATCTATGGCACTGCTTTCCACGGTGGCACCGAATGGCAACGCCTTAGCGAAGACCTCTGCTTACCCATCGATGCTTTCCTCGATCAACTCAATACAGATGTCCCCTCAAATGGCACTCTCAATTTCGTTGGAGATGGACTTTTGACGTACGGAGACGCAGTCCGAGAAAGGCTCGGTGGGAAGGCACACTTCGCCAATCCTATTTTCAACGTTCCACGGGGGGCAACGATTGCACACCTTGGGATACAACGTCTACAGCACGGCGATAACGATAGTTACTGGACCTTAGTCCCGAACTACGTTAGAGTCGGATTATATTAACCCGAAATGTTTCAGGAGATCCGTTATGCAATCTTCACGCCTTTGTAGATACCTACTCACGCCGTTACTTATCGTATGCGTTACCGTCGCTGCACACGCCTTGGAAGTCGGCGACCGCGTGTTTGATTCCGAACTCGCTACCGCCATTGAATACGCCGAGAAATTTCACGGAAAAGTGAATCTAATTGTCGTGTCTCACGCCGATGCCGACTGGAAGTCAACGGTGCAGGATCTCACCGAAGAATTCACATCAAAATACAACGCAGTGACAGTGTGGCAGGAAACCCCTAAGAACGTAGAAACGGAAGTAATTATTATTGATAAATCGGGATATGTGAGATGGAAGCACGTCAATGAAACCACATCCCCGACAATAGAAGAACTGACAACAGAACTCGCGAAACTCAAACGGAACACGCCGTTACCTATCGGTTCGCCTGCGCCGGATTTCAGCCTCACTGAAGCGGATGGAAAAACACAGTTCACGCTCTCAGACTATAAGGGAAAAAAGAACGTGCTTGTCAGTCTGCTACTCCAAACCTACTGACCGGTTTGTGCCAACTACACAGCGCAGTTTGCGACTGATCAAGCGGAATTCAGCGAAAAATATGATACCGTTGTCGTAGCGATTAAACCGGAACCGCTTTCAGTTATAGCGAAATTCAAGGATCCGGAAACAATGGACATCCCCTTGCTCGCCGATCCCGGTTCTTCTGTTCATGAGGCTTACGGCATCATCAAAACCTTATCACTTCCATCGGCAGGATATGTATCTGCCCGCAACATTCTTAATCGACAAAGAAGGTCATCTGAAATGGCTCTATATCGGTAAGAGAAATTCCGACCGCCCCACCGCGGAACTGATTCTCGAACAACTCACTCAACCCTAATAGATACTAAGCTTTGGACAATTTTCAGTATTTTTCTTAGAGATGCGGTATATCCTTTCAGGACACATAGCACTCCGCTGGAGTGCGGGAGGGTGGATATACCGTTTTCTATAGACATAGCACTCCGCTGGAGTGCGGGAGGGTGGATATACCGTTTCTATAGACATAGCACTCCGCTGGAGTGCGGGAGAGTGGATACACCGTTTTCTATTCTCACTGCGAAGCAATACCACGCCGCTGAGTGCGGGAGAGTGGATATA